AAGCACTCAGAGCATCCAGAGCTTACTGGGAGACAAGTGGGAGACAAGTGGGAGACAAATGGGAGACAAGCCTGAAATCATGCGGCCAGAGTGAGAGCATCGAGAGCTTACTGGGAGACAACTGGGAGACAAGTGGGAGACAAATGGGAGACAAATGGGAGACAAGTATAAAATCATGCGGCCAGAGCACTGAGAGCATCCAGAGCTTACTGGGAGACAAGTGGGAGACAAGTGGGAGACAAGGGTGAAATCATGCGGCCAGGAACACAACCCCGGAGACAAACTCAAAATCATCCGGCCCGAGCATGCACCCCTTTAAAAGGAGTAAGAACCCCTCACAGGTAAACCTGTTTGGGGAATTAGTTACTTAAAAGATAAGCGGTGTAAAGAGGCATCATGATAATTTATCAAACTCCAAGTCTCGCTGCACAAGTCTCCTTTCCATGATCTTCCAATCCTGGCTTTCGGAGGCGCTGAGACTACGGCTGTGTCATGACAAACATGTTTTCTATATGTTTGGCCGACCTCCCCCTATCAGCAATGGCCTCCAATGGCCTCTAACCCAATAGCAATGGCCTCCAACCAAATAGCGATGGCCTCCAACCTACTAGCGATGGCCTCCAACCTACTAGCCATGGCCTCCAACCTACTAAGCATGGCCTCTAACCTAATAGCGATGGCTTCCTTACCACACAGTAGGTAATGTAGTTGCATTGTGTTTCAGAGTCTACCAGGTTTCCCCTACCTACTTACGAACCCGCACACCCTAACTCAGTCTCATCACTTTACCCGAGCATCATTCAGGCCAATGTGAGCGAAGTCATCAGCAGCATCCACGCTAGCCAACAGGACGGCAGCACCTGCGCTCAACAGCTGATCTGTAAAAAGAAAACATAAGAAAATTAGCCCAGCTGGAGACCCCAATAGCAAGATACAAACCGGGACAAAAAGAAAAATCTGGAAACAGCCCGGAAACAGCTGCTGTTTTCAACACATCGACCATCTCTTCCTTGGACACCATCATCACATAACCGGGACACCATCACAAAATGACCAGGGCACCATCAAAACATGGAGACACCGTCACAACATGATTGGGACACCATCACAACATAACCGGGACACCATCACAAGGTGACTGGGACACCAGCATGACATGACGGGGACACCATCACAACATGACCGGGACACTATCACAACATGACCGGGACACCGTCACATGACCCGGACACCATCAAAACATAACCGGCACACCGCCAAAACATGACCAGCACACCATCACAACATGACCGGGACACCATCAAAACATGACCGTCACCACATGAGCGAGACACCAGCACAACATGACCGGGACACCATCAAAACATGACCGGGACACCGTCACAACATGAGCGAGACACCATCACAACATGACTGGGACACCGTCACAACATGACTGGGACACAATCACAACATGACCGGGACACCATCACACGGTGACCGGGACACCAACATGACATGACGGGAAAACCATGACAAGATGACCAGGACACCATCACAACATGACCGGGACACAGTCACATGACCCGGACACCATCAAAACATAACCGGCACACCGCCAAAACATGACCAGGACACCATCACAACAGGACCGGGACACCATCAAAACATGACCGGGACACCGTCACAACACGACTGGGACACCATCAAAACATGACCGGGACACCATCACAACATGACCGGGACACCATCAAAACATGACCGGGACACCATCAAAACAGGACCGGGACACCATCACAACATGACTGGGACACAATCAAATAATGATCGGGACACCATCACAACATGGCCGCGCCACCATCACATGATCGGGACACCATCAAAACATGACCGGGACACCGTCACAACACGACCGGGACACCATCAAAACATGACCGGGACACCATCACAACATGACCGGGACACCATCAAAACATGACCGGGACACCATCACAACATGACCGGGACACTATCACATGATCGGGACACCATCAAAACATGACCGGGACACAATCAAAACATGATCGGGACACCATCACAACATGACCGGGACACCATCACAATATGACCGGGATACCTTCAAAACATGACCGGGAAACCATCACAACATGACCGGGACACGATCAAAACATGACCGGGACACCATCAAAACAGGACCGGGACACCATCACAACATGATTGGGACACAATCAAAACATGATCGGGACACCATCACAACATGACCGCGCCACCATCACATGACCGGGACACCATCAAAACTTGACCGGGACACCAGCAAAACATGACCGGGACACCATCACAACATAATCAAAACATGATCGGGACACCATCACAACATGACCGCGCCACCATCACATGATCGGGACATCATTAAAACATGACCGGGACACCATCCAAACATGCCTCGGGACACCATCACAATATAGCCGGACACCATCACAATATAACCGCGCCACCATCACGTGATCGGGACATTATCAAAACATGACCGGGACACCATCAAAACATGCCCGGGACACCATCACAATATGACCGGACACCATCACAACATGACCGGGACACCATCAAAACATGCCCGGGATACCATCACAACATGACCGGGACACCATCACAACATGACCGGGACACCATCACAACATGACCGGGATACCTTCAAAACATGACCGGGACACCATCACAACAGGACCGGGACACCATCACAACATGATTGGGACACAATCAAAACATGATCGGGACACCATCACAACATGACCGCGCCACCATCACATGACCGGGACACCATCAAAACATGACCGGGACACCATCAAAACATGACCGGGGCACCATCACAACATGACCGGGACACCATCAAAACATGACCGGGACACCATCAAAACAGGACCGGGACACCATTACAACATGATTGGGTCACAATCAAAACATGATCGGGACAGCGGGACACTAACATCACATGACCCGGACGCCATTCAAACATGACCGGGACACCATCGGCCCACCAGTTCTGACGGTGACCCGACGGCGCCCATCCGCCCATTAGTTTTGCAAGACCCCATAGCATGGCTATTGGGGAACAATGTCCACAAGGATTGTAAATCAGTGTGACTTGCCTTGCCTTTTCTTTGTGCAACAAATGTGAAAGTTGAGAAGGCGTCCAACCATTCCCTCGCCTGAAGCTCGTCTTGGCAGCATCCCAACCTCTATGAGACGCATGTACTCAGCACCTTGGTGTCTTGGAATGGGAGAAAAGGCAAAGAAAGGCAAATTTGCCAGGCATTGGCACGGCAGACACTGTCCAAGGCACGCAGCATGGACATGAAGAGCTTCCTGTATACGACTCGTTCCTCTCGAGATTGGCCAAGATCTTCAGGCGGCAACTACGGATATGTGCAAAGACATGTGACGAAGACTACGAATCACTGATCACATGTCCCCTTCCTTTCATGTCCCCTTTGCGGGTCTCCTGATAGGTCCCCTTTGCCGCCACGCCAAGCCTCAAAGCCGACAGCACTGTTTCATGGTTTTGGATCTGCGGTGAGACCCGTAGTCACTTGGATCCTCACCGCTTTTGCTCAAGGAAGTGGCTGGAATCCTCCTTCCTCAAGGCCACCCCACGATCCTCAGTCGATCTGTCCCACAACTCGGAGATTCTTTCAGAAGTCGGAACAACATGTCCAAAACTGCTTTTACGGGGCACATCAAGGACTTGACAGTAGACATATCAATGAAGCCCACAGCTTCTATTTGGCCATCAAATACCGCCAAGGAGCCACGCGAACCTCTTCAAAGCCCCACCACCAGTGCCCCTGAGTGAGGAATTTTGCAAGAAATGAAATGGTCCAATGTTGTTCACTCTTTGGACACTGTGTCCCAATCTGCAGCTATCCATGTTCCACTGACATGATCTGCCATGCCATATTCAGCTTAGTTGCCCAGGCCGGGTACATCTGTGGATCAGAGGCCATTCTTCGCACACCTTGGTGTGATCAGAAATATTGTGTCTTTCAGAGCTCCTTGCCAAGCGATGTCAGCTTGCCAAAACAAGCAAGCGAAAAGGATATTGTATTACTTCAATGTTTTTGAAACCAAATGCTAGCAAAATAAAGAAGGAGATGTCCAAACAAATGCTGGGGCCTCGCTGTTGCTTTCTTGTTGGTAAGGTGGTACATTTTGGGAGTTTGCTGAGGCACTATTTTCCCAACGTGTTTTTACAGCATTCGCACCACTGGGCCGCTGGTGAAGTAGCACCTAGTATATAGATATTTACTTGTCAGTGTACCATTTGATCTGAAGTTGCATTGTTGTGGCTTTTGCCAGTGAAATGGTGCTACCATGGATGAAAAGAAATATTTCTGCCAGCAAAGTAGTGGTTGTGGTCTTTGGGTTTGAAATCATGGTTGACACCGGCGTGGTAGAATACTTCACCTCTGGTGATGTGGTTTTTGCGTGCCTCTCAGGATGCGGTCTCCCTAGCCTGAAAGACTAAAGAGTCTGCTTCACTTCAGGTGAAGTTGCACCGCTGGTGACGGCTCTGGCTGGTGAACACTTACTGGTCCCTTACTTAAGTCAGCTTCAGGTTCCCAAAAAATCTAGAAACCAAATCATTAGTGCGAACTCTTCTTCAAGGAAGCTCCCCCAATAAATTTTATGCCAGCGTAGACCTCACACAGTTTGTGCCTTTATGAAGCAAGCCACAGAAACGAACTGTCAAACAGTGAACGGCTCAACCAGCTCGCGGCGATCAACTCGGACCTTCTCGACTTGCTTCAGCGTTTGGCTCAGTCCGCTCAAGGTCAGGGCCGACAGTTCAGACGAAAACAGAACATATGCTAATCTATTGAATATGTTGAGTTGTACTGACATGTGGCTTTATCATGCTTAATTTGGCTTTTAAAATGTTTCAAAGCGTTTAATCCACCATGAGTTTGTGAGGTGAGACAAGCACGGAGACAAGAAGGGAAACAAGCAGGGAGACAAGTGAAACAAGAAGGGAAAAAAGCAGGGAGACCAATGGAGACAAGTGTAACAAGAGCGGAGACAAGCAAAAAGATCAGCAGGGAGACAAGCAGGAGACAAGTATAAAATCACCCGGCCGAGAGTATGCAAGCAGGGAGACAAGCAAAGAGACAAGTCATCCGGCCAAGGCCAAGAGGCAAACAACAGACAACTCCGGCCAAGTTGTCCAGAGTAGTCTGAGGCAAGTGGAGGCAAGTGTAACAAGAAGGGAGACGAGTGGGAGACAAGTGTAAAATGTGTAAACTCCTTTGGCCAAGAGCGTCTAAGCAGGGAGCAAGCAAAGAGCAAATGGAGACAAGTGTATAAACTTCCGGCCAAGCGTACAAGGGTAACAAGCAGGGAGACTCACAAGTGTAAAATCATCCGGCCGAGAGTATCGAAGCAGGGAGACAAGCAAAGAGACAAGTGTAAAAACACATCTGAGACAAGTGGAGACAAGTGTAACAAGAAGGGAGACAAGCAGGGACACAAGTGGCAGACAAGCGTGAAAGCAAAAAGCCAAGCCAAGAATATCTTAGCAGGCCAAGAGGACAAGTGGAGACAAGTATTAAAAGCACCCAGCCAAGTGTATCCAGGGTAGGACGAGACAAGTGGGAGACAAGTGTAAATCACCGGCCAAGAGTATCCAAAAGGGCAAGTGGAGACAAGTGGACAGAGGAAACACCAGCCCAGGAACACAAGCCCGGAGACAAAGTCAAATCATCCGGGCATGCAACCCTTTAAACAGAGTATAAGAACCCCACACAGGTAAACCTGATTTGGGGAACAAGTGTAAAATCATGCGGCCAGAGCACCAGAGTGTATTGGAGACAAGGGAGACAATTGGAAGACATTGCAAAATCATGCGGCCAAAGCAACCGCAGTGTGGCAAAAACGCAAGCCCGGAGACAAACCTAAAATCATGCGGCCAGAGCACCGGAGTGTATTGGAGACAAGGAAGACACGGGAGACAACGGAGATATATGTAAAATCATGCGGCCATGCGGCCCGGGCATGCAACCCTTTCAAAGGAGTAAGAACCCCTCACAGGTAAACCTGTTTGGGCAAATAAGGGAACGACGGATGCTTCGAACTGGTTGTACGTCAACAGGCCATGGATTGAAACTGCCGCTCCCATGACGCCATGGGTTGTGGTTACGTTTTTACAATGTGTTTATGTTCCTTTATTTTTTTAGGGGAAAGGGGTAGGCCGAGAAGAGGTAGCTAGTAGTAGCTAGTAGCTAGGGAGTTGCTAGTAGAAGAGATAGCTAGTAGCTTAAAGAGATACTACTTAGGACGCAGGATAGCTCACACTCGCACTAATGATTTGGTTTCTAGGCCTTTAGGGAAATGTAAGCTTGGGATCTTGGTCTGAAATATCAGGGGCTATATAAGTCTCATCCACAAGCAACAATGACAAACTCTTGCTGAAGCAAAGGCAACTTCAGCCAGCATAGGGTTGACAAAAACATATGTATTCAATCTTGGCGGCTGTCACCTTGGTCATCAGCATCTGTCTTCAGATGGGGATTGGAGGAGCCTCAGATGTGCATTTTCTTGATCAGAATCAAGTGGACAAAATTGCATTGCTTATACTGATTCCGCACAATACAAAGAAATCTCCTGCAACCGTCAATACCCTTGGTACCGTAGTTACTCTGCCAATTGAGCTTCCACAACTGTAAGACTGATTGAATATCTCCTGGAACCGGCATGCAACTTATGCCAAATTGTCCACTGCCCTGAGCTGTGAGGGCATTGCAAGGTTCAGTCCTGGGAAGGGTCTCCCAATTCTTCTTCGAGATGCTCCAGTAGCATATCCAGCTCTCGCCTGAGAATATGATGTCGGGAGCTCTTGATGCTCTTGAGAATCGAGCTTTGCTGCATCACTGGAATGCCAAGATGCTGGTGAACTGCTTTGAAGCGTTCATCAGTGGCAAGGGAATCGCTAAAGGCTTTCTTGGAAGCAGCCATCCTCATCCCCCAGTCACTAACAGCGAACATCAGCAAGCATCAGCAAACATATAAATCAAACATCCATGATTCTCGCACAAGCTGAGAATGTAGCAATTCCTGCCGAAGGGTTTGTAGAATAGCCGTCTGGGCCTTGAAAGGGGAAAGTTTCGGAAAGGTGTCTGCACCAGTCTCTACTGTAAGAGATTGTGGGGCGCTCCTTTTCGCATGAACGTTCACTAAGCCTCCAGAGCATTGATCCCTCATATCCCTCTGCCTCCAGTGGCTTTGTGAGACCCAAGTACTTCAAGAGCAGGCTGCAGGTGGTGGCATTGATCAACAGCGTAAGCGTTGCAAAGCCAGAGATGAAGAAGACCTACAGTGCTAGTAGATGTCATTCAGCTTGGGGCACAAGACCCGAGAAGATGCACAAGAATTGAGATTATTTATATAACTAAAGATTTATCTAGATGGTTTGTTGCCTGAAAAGGATCTGAAGAAAGCATTCATTACTGAACCTCCACACAAGAAAAAAGCTGCAAACTGTCGTCTTCACCTGGCACCAATCTAACCACTTGCATAACCATGTATGACCATGCATGGCCCGCGTCCAGGATACCATCAGGTTTGCTGTGTACTCCTTGCCCTGTTGTATCAGCAAATCTCGCATTGACAGCACCAGGGCAAGACCTACGGCTCCTCGGAGGCCGCCCCACGTCATGACCTGCACCGGCGAGGCTTGGTCAAGGAGATCAATTGACTCGATGTTTGCTGCGCTGACAAAGTCTGATTAAGCTCCCAGCAACGCATTCTCTCCAAGTGGTCCGCCTTGGTGACAAGAGCATGCTTGACATCCAATGTTTTTGTTGCAAGGTCTAGCAATCTGCTTTGCCGAGGAACGTCACGTCAGAACCGCCCACCAAGTTGACGAGAGGTGCCAGCATCGCAATCATCAAGCCCCGAGCGAGGTTCCCAAGTATGTACAACAAACCCAGCCAGGCAAAGTCGGCCCACTCCACCTTCTTGCATGCCGTGTATGCAAAGACACCACACAGCACGAAGAGGATGGTGTTGCCAAAAAACTCCAGAGTGTGCCAAATCGCTTGAAGCCCATCCTGGCAACAAAGCAACCTTGCTGAACACGTATCAAGGTGAAATGCAGAAGCTGCCTTGTCACAAAGAAGTGGCTTGCATATTCTGCTCACCATGAGGGCCGTGAAGATGGTCGCGAGCACGCCGCTCACTTTCAGCTCGTTTTCTCCGACAAAGAAAGAAACGTAGGCCACAGTGATGGTGAGTGTCACCTTGAGAAGTGCTTGCCGGCGGCGGTGGGATTTCTAAACACAGCTAGCATTGTGAGTCTTGTAGTGTTTGAGATCACTCGGTCAGATCCACTGTAAATGAAGCTTCCATCTGAATGGCGGGATCTTAGTTGAGCTTGTTTGGAGGTCAGGTCATCATTCATCATCTATAATCATCCCCTGGCCTGCACCAAGGAGTCCGTATGAACCAGACGGTCAGAGGCCAAAGATATCCATCCTTAGCTGAGCAAAACTAGTCTTCGTAGCTCTGCTAATGCAGGGCTGCCAAGATTGATGCAGCCACAAACTGAAACTGCAACAAGTACATGACACTACACGCGCATTGTAAATACATCCACGAAGAAAATGTCAAAACTATTCAAAACTAGTTGGTCCCAAAAAAGAGCTTCAACAAAGTTCCGCTCTGGATTTCTTCAATGTCCTGTCCATTCCAGGCCAAGGCAGACGAGGCACGTGACCCTACAAGTCCACATACGACCCCAAAAGCACACCCACCAGCTGCTAGGCGCAAGAAGCTCCAGAGGATCTCTGCACCAGCCTCTCCTCCTGGCAGAGACGGCTTTGTGGATTCAAGCGGAACAGAAACTTCTCCTCATGGCTAACGGCTAACGCCCTGGCACCACTTCTGTGGTGAAAAACATGGCATCTCTTGTCTGAGGTAGAAAGAAGGACTGTGGATGAAGATGAAGTCAGAGTGATGCTTACCTTTGCTCCCAAGCTTGTCTCTGCAGCATTCGGCACACATGCCAAGCCCCAGCCACGGTCCTTTCATGAAATTGAAAAAGACAAGCCACACGACAATCGCCACACCATCCTTAGCATCTGTTTCCAAACACGACTGAAAAGGCTGTCCGATCAAGTCAAAGCTTGACACTATGCTTGCAGTTGAGTGACATTGAGCAGGGACTCTCCAGCTATCTGCATCGTTAGGACTCTGCTTGCTCCCATCTCCTTCAGAAAGAATAAAGTGAAGCTTCATTCTTGAGGCTTGAGTCCAACCAGGGTATCAGGGGTAGGAGGGAGGCTAGCGTTCTTGTGCTCGAAAGCTCAGGAAGCATCTCAAATCCGTCTAAAGTCTAAAGAGTCTAGTCTAGATAGAAAGGTGCTCTGGAACCGGTGGAGCTCATTTCGCCAATCCGACCTTCAAGAGACCTACCACCGCCACAGGATCGGTGGCTGCCAAAACACTGCCAAACGCGGCGCACTCGAAGTCACTCCAGCCTCAGCGGCAGCGTTGGATTCGATCTTGGGGGCCCCAATTTTGTCGAGGAGAGTCGAGCTGGGAAGTGGGGGTTGAACATGAACTGTGAAGGCTTTTGACGACTGTGTTGACCCCACACACAGACAAGACACACAAAAACAAAGCTTCGCTTTGCTTTGCTTAGCGTGACCCTGGACTGCTAATGTGAATGTCGAGAAGCCAAAAGGAAAAATGTACTTGGCCACAAGGTACATCAGTGCTGTCCCAATCAGCACTCCAGGTCCTGTTCTGAGAGTAGCAAGAAAGCAGCTGAAAGGCTGTGAGTCTTGGCCCCTAGTTTGCAAAGTCTATAAAATGAGAGTCTATAAGTCTATAATAAACAAATAACATGCTGTTTTCAGTTTCACTGAAGAGCCCAGCCCACTGCCGATCAGACAGCTGTCCTGCCAGGAGAACGCATTGAGCAGCCGTCCGCTGGAAATCGTGCCACACCTTCCGCTGCAAATCGGTTCAATCAGTCCAACACATCCGAGACCCGTCGGGAGACCCGTCGGGAGATTTGTTGGAGAGAGACCTGTTGAATGATTTCGCGTGGTTGATCGTGTGAAAAACAATGCCCTGCGACACTCTGCCAAGGCACAATCGACATGGCATCTCCGAAAAGCAAAACAGGAAGAAAGGCAAATAGGAGCAGGTGCGGATCCTCAGTTGAAGATGAATCAGGTATATAATTTTCTGTTGCCGCTCCTGTTTTTCAATTCCAGTATCCAAACACCTCCCCATGCTTCCCATGTGCGCAGGCTCGGTGGCTTATTCTTGTGCCATCGCTCTCATTCTTGGTCCTGGTTAGGCTGGACATGTATAGCCCAATGTGGGCCTTATTCCGGCCTCCTCTCTTTCGCACGACAGCGGAAGCCCTTTCTCTCATCAGCTTCCGAGGCTGAAGGGTATCAACAAAAGGTAGGTCCCTCAGCATCCTCGATGAACTTGAGAAAGGACGAAGTCTCCAAATGTCTCCAATACTTTCTGCCTAGGCCTAGCAGCTACTCGCAACTGCTGCCAGGAGACCATGGCGATCCAAAGGCTGATACTTTGGGACAGCGTTCCCAAACCGCCACCAGTTTCAATATCCAGAAATCCAATGCAGTAGCCGACTATCCTCACTCTAAACGAAACAACGCAGGAGACTAGTGACCGATCCAATTCTTCACTGGGCAAAACACTAGCAACCTCAAACAGTCTGCCAGACTGCGACAAGAAGCAGCAGTGCAACCGTGTAGGGAATGATTCCCAGTCGCGGGCACCGAGAAGTGATGTGTGTTATAGTCATACCTGCGATCGTGACGAACAGTCTCCAGAGGCTTCTGGCAAGCAGCCGAACAGTCTCCAGCCGCCAGCTCTGTTCTTATGAGCGGTATCTTTGCCTCTAGTAGCGAACATTGCTCCTAGTAGTAAGGCCAGGAGCCCCTTGTAGCGTCCTTGCTCCTAGTGTCACTAGATTATTTGAATCCTAACTGTCCGGGTATACCTCTTGCAATGGCTCCACAAGCATCGTTCCAAAAAGCACCCCACAAGCACGCACTTCTGACCCAAATCCAGCCTGATAGCATTGCAACGAAGGGAAACCTAGCAGCATCACTGTGGCATCGGCGGAAGTCGCGTTCCAACACACCAAGCGAAGGTCGCCCAAAAAAGACAAGTCGGGTGTGCCGTTCCGGTTCAAAGAAATGGTGATTGTCAAATCAGTAACCAAGTCATGAAAACCTCTTCTGCCCAGCAGCAACAGTGCAACATGCGGGTGAATATGCTGATCAGCATGGCCTTCCTTAGATGTACAACGTGCAGAGTCCAAAGCACCTTAATTGGAGCCCATACTCCCATGGAAAGGTGTAAAGCCACAATTGAGGTCGATCTCGTTATGTGGATACCAAGTAGTCTTGAATATTATGCAGGTGGCAAGCGATGGGTATCTCATCTAACCGTGCATTCTAGCTTCATGCTGTCTAACCGCATGATACATGTTTATGATGTGTTCTACGATTTGGGAAACCCACTATTCGGCTTTGTGTGTTTGTTGTAATTTGTCATAATAAGAACTGCTGTTGAGGGTTAGATATACAAAATCAATTTCACAAATCATTCTGCATGTTTTGGCATATGCATGAAACAAAAGCATAGAAGCTCAGAGCAGGTAATTCCATTCAATAAAGACAAATCAATAGAGTCAGTGTGAAATTATTCAACCTAATGCAAGACAAAAGTAAATAGCAACAAACCGAACTGATAGTCGTTGCTGAGATCTAGTTGATGTATTGGCTCCTTCACATTGAAAACACATGGTCAAGCCCCTGCCAGGTAGCCACGGCATGCTCGTCAGTGGAGTTGTCCTTGGCGAAGGCTCGAAGCTGAAAGAATCCCGACACTTTTCCAACATCCACTTCGGATCCATGTCATATCGGCCAATCAAAGGAAGGCTCAAACACCAAAGATTATTGAGATAGAGGTGGTTGGAAGCATCGTTCCCCTGTCATTGTCAGCTGGCTGGTAAGCACGCGTCGCAAAAAAGACACACACTAATACTATTGCTAAGTATCTATCGGATGGTGATCGGCTTCTGTCGTTGTGGCTGCAAGCACGTGCAATAAACGCAAGCTTGCGACCAGGACCCATACAGCGATGGCCATTGTGGCAACATGAAGGAGTGTGTACGATGTTCTTCAGGTTGCGCTCTGAGTTTTGGGCTATTACTCTATGGACTACGGATGCAAACCTGCATGTTGTTTGAACTGCTTGCAAACTTTACCCAACAACGTGGATCATTGAAACACTTTGCTGGACAGTTCTTGTTGGTCTTCCATGATATTGAGCGAAGGCTGAGCCAAAGGTTCAATGAGGGTGGATGTCTCACGCTGCAGTAGGCTGGAGGCCATTGAAATTAAAACCAAGAAAGTTGAAAAGGAAAACAAGTCTATACTGTATAATATAGTTTACTATTAGGTTGAAGGCCATCGTTATTAGGTTCAACAGTCACCATGCTGGTGCAACTCTGGGCTTGGGAAGGGCAGGTATACATGCACGAGAACAGTGGGTTCGTTTCGGCTGCAAAGCGCCTGGGAAGGTATCTTCGAAGGATCCATTGCAGTCCCTGGGGCTGAAATACACCAAGTTTGAGCCTTCATTGCGTTTGGACACTCAAAGTGCAGAACTGAAGTGCGAGAATTCACAATGTTCAATCCATCTCAGTGTCGAGACCTTTTGCATGTGACACTATGCCGTCGAGGGAGAAAGCCAAGCTTCTCAGGGAAATGATCTTCCCGGTCCCGTCAGCACGACAAATCTCCAGAACCAAACAGACAGAAACAAAGTTGAGTAAGGACAAATTGCCTGTGTTGCAAATTATCTAGCCAAATGATGAATTAGTAGGCCAAATCGGTCCGAGCACAGCCTGCCTTCAGCAGTCTGGCTCGATCCAAAAAGGTGGTCTTGGCGGTGCTAGAATGCTAGTTGGATTAGAGAGTCTTTCTGCTTGATCAGTTTTCAATGTCTAGCATTCTGGCAAGATCTAGCAAGCCAGCTTGGCATGGAATCAAGCTTTGACCACTGCCCCATTTAGCTCCATGGTCCTGACCTCAAAATATCAAATCGTATCGGTTGATGACTTTCCAGGACAGAACATTTCGAGAACAAGATCATCTACAGTATATACTGCCACTGCTTTTGCTACTGCCACTGGGACTGCAACTGCTGCTGCTGCTGCTGCTCCTCCTCCTCCTCCTCCTACTACTACTACTACTGCTGCTGCGACTACGACTCCGACTCCGACTCCGACTCCGACGACTCCGACGACACCGCCGACGCCGACGCCGCCAACGCCGACGCCGACGCCGACGCCGATGCCGACGACGACGACGACGACGCAGCACCAGCTATACAGAGGGGAAGAGTTGCCCGCGGACAATACGCTCACAGTTCTGCAATCTGTCTTTCTTGTTTACAAAGAATAAGGTATAGAACACCTACCCCACCCCAAAGAATCCCAAGATCTCGACACTCCCAAAATTTATTCCAGGCAATTCTGCGCAAACCAACCACTTGTTGATCAAATAGCCTCTAGGCTCTACCGTACCATCTCCAAAGCATTGTTTAATTTGAACATGGTCCGGCCATTGATTGTTCCTGTTACCCCTTGAAATGGATCTCTCTGGCTGTCTGGCTTTTGAGTGACAAAGGTTTGGAGGTCACAACTCGCCAAGTGAAACTGAAAGCCTCCAAGGCTTAGCACCTTTCAAGGCAGAAATAATCCATTCTTTGGCCTCAAGGAGGAAGATGGAGTAGTTGGAGTTTCTGCTTGGGAACCTTTCTTGCCCAACCTGCACTTTTTTTGATGAAGCATTCAATTGTCTTGGAAAAGCGATGGAACTCCACTTCCAGCTTGACCGCAGAGCTATTCGCACACCTCATAGCCTAGCCACAGAAGCTTGCGGCGTTCACTCCCTGAATCCTTCCATCTTACAAACAAATGCATCAAATTGAGCTCGAAGTTTGCAGACAAAGCATCAAAGGGCATTTGTCAAACTGGTCTACGCCACTTGATCAGGCCTCATCTCCCGCCCGTCTGCGGTGGCGTGATCTCCGGAGTCTCAGTGATCAGCTTTTTGCATTCAAAGGAAATCTCAAAAAGGTGGTGTGGAAGTGTTGATGCTTGTGAGGGATCGTGGAGTCCAAGGCCCGACACCACTTCCTTCCACTATTGCTACACAATTGCTATTTGCACCTATTTGCTGTGTTTCTCTCGTTTTGCCGAGCTGTAATTCCATGACTTGAATCCCTTGAATCCTCTACCTTCCTGAAGTCCTTCCTCTACCGTTATTGTCGTCCGCACGGTGCATTTTGTACTGAGTGTGTAAGCCACGGTGAGTGCGAGCAAATGCTCCAGTTCCACCTGACTCAACCGGCATCAAACAGCAAGAGATTAGTAGTAATTGTTGCCCTTCCCACGAACGGAAAGCTCCAAAGCTCAGGCCAGAACCCTCAAGGCTTCGTTTTCGGAGCGCAGCCTGCTGTTCTCCTCCAGGACCTTCTCGAACGGCTTGAGTGAGATTGATCTATGGTAGCAGCACACAAGCGCGATCAGCCTCCCCTTATCCCATTCTCTCAAAGTTCAAGTGTTTTGGTCTTCTCGTCAAACATCTTATCAAGCCATTGCTGTCAATTCCAGCTTCCACCCTCTACAGCCTCCTGCACGCGCTCTTGGATTGTCTCGGGATCCTCATCCTGAACAAGCGAAGGTCCACAGCTACTTGTACCAATCAAGTCCGGCCACTTCTGGTCTTCCCTACTCAAGTTGGTTGAGAGACCAGACTATTAGGAATTCTGCAGTGAGAAAAGAAGGACATGATCTTCGAAAGCCATGAGTAGGAGTTTGCGAGCATCGTGACTGGCCTCGAATGATGGTGAGAGGGGAGCGGCCTGATTGCAGCACTGGTTGCGTCTGCATGTTTCAGGCTTCTTCTGCCCAACCCTTTCTTCAAATACAAGAAGGTCACCTCTTCCTGCTTTTCAGGAGCTTGCGTCTCCTGTCGCCAGCCAAATGATTCAAAGTCACTTCCTGATCCAAACCTTCAAGAGAGAGGGAGAGAGAGAGAGGGAGAGGGAGAAGACAATGGCAAAAAGATCGTCGCAAGACATGGCAGTGAAACCAAAAAAGACACACTACGATGAAGTAATCCGAAAGCTCTTCAGAGGATGTTGCAAGCTCTGTCCCCCCAAAGGATCCAGAAGGATCTGAATAAAAGACGGAATCGAACTCAGTCCTCCCCTTTTGCCGAAGGTTGTGTTTCAGCCTCGGGAGTCTGCCGGTCGTTCGTCAAACTCCAGTCGTTCATTCTTCCGGTGCCTGGTCGACCAAGGTCTCATTGGGCTCGTCCTCAACCTTGCGTGTCCCGAAACCAAATACGGAGACGGACATGAAATGTGTCTTAAGCAAAGTGTAGGTGTAGATTGTGTGCTATGTCTACTTCTCTATTCTGCTACCTTCCAGGAACTTCCTTACAGCAATAAAATAAAATTCAGACTGCTGTTGTCCCGCAAAAGAAGAGCTTGCTCTCCTTCTGTCGCTTGCTCTCCTTCTGCACGAAGTCGTGGAATTCCTGTTGGGTGGACAGAGCTCGACAGCATCTCTGTGCGGTCCACATCTTTTAGCCGATCTGAAGATCTGAAGGAGCCATTGGTCAATGGAAGGTCAATATACAGTACGACATATAGATACATATAGTGTATAGTCAAGGTTTCAGTGATGAGAGAAGTTGCTGTCGCCTCACGTGAAATCACACCATCATTGTTGGTGTCAAGGTCTTCGAAGGAAGCTGCAGCAACTGCGGCATGAACCTTGCAGCTGAGCAGGGAAGAGGAGGCTAAGGATCGCCCAGGCATCGCAGCATTCCAATTCTCTGGAGAACGGACCTCTTTTATTCGTTCTTCCTCCAATCTGGCTTCTTCCTTCAACAGGTCTTGCCAGCCCACCACATGAATCACGATCAAAGCTTATTATGCGGGCCATGGACACCAGAGATTCAGCGAGTCTGCTGTCCTTGTGCATGGTCTGGGATCTATCTACAGTTCGTTTAGCAACCAGCAAACCGTCTCCCGAACATGCAAGTTGCAGCGTAGTTGCTTGCAGATTAGGTGCATGAAGGAACAAAAATGAACACTGAGTACATTGAAATACTAGGACCTAGGACCTTCTCCCATGTACGAAAGCCAAAGCTCCAGTACAAGGACGAGTCATTATCTCGTGCCTCTTTTCTGCGTTCTTCTGCTTGCCTGGCCTCCTCCTGGGCACAAGCCAGCACCACTGCAAAGCACCTACAAGTACCATTCGCAGCGCCTCCTGCTGCAGTCTCTGCGCCACGACTTCAGCGCTGTCTTTTGCCAGTGGGCAAGACTCAGCAACCTAAACAATGATGACCCAAAAAGACAACGGATTATCAAAAAATGGCGATGACGCCAACGGTCTTGGAAGAACACAATCAATCGCAAGTGCATGTCTGGTCTGACAGACTCCAAATCCCTTACTACTGCCTGGGACAATAGTTCCGTCCAAGCGTCTGTGGTCATGGCATCAGTTGCGGAGGCAACATCCTGGCATGACTTCCATGCGCAACATTGCGATGGAGTTGGAATACAAAGCAATTCCAAATCAAATCAAAGCCCTCGGAAGCATAGAACAGCATGTTCCTCAGGTTGTACTGTTGGCCCGCGTTCAGAGGCAGCTGTGCCTCAGGTGTAGGAGTAGTTGGCAATCAGTCACTCACAATGTATACGAGTCATGAAGCTGGTGCGGTGTGGTGCAGCCATGTCTCCAATGATTGAGGCTTCAAGCCTGTCTGGCTCTCGCACAACCATGTCTTGGACAATTTCCTCGGGGCAGTGATTGTGATCTCAGCGCTGACCCTTCGCTTCTTCCACATCAATGGGCTCAACAGAACATTGTTTGTCGCGTCCGACCAAAATCATGACATCAGTCCTTCACAGCCAAGGTATTTTGCTCGTCGCCGCCCCCAGATTCATGTGCGGACGGCGTTCTCTCCTCCTGCGATAGCAAAGCTACGAATTAATACAAATTAAGGGAAATAACTTTGGGGAAAGGAAAAGATTCAGAGTTGTTTCATGTCCCCCATTGCGCTATGTCGTTACGCCGTATGGCTGCTTTCTTGTGGCTGCGGACAGCGTTAAGCTTCCTCTTTGGCGTAGCTCTCCTTTGCCTTGGCGCAAATGGGACTTAAACAAATGGTGCGGGGAATCCTCGGCACCAAGTTGTGCTTGATCAAACAAGCCTATACAGCCGGACATAGGCCCACGGGTCTTGCATGGGCCCACGGGTCTTGACTGGGGAGCGATGCCTGTGTGAAAGCTGGCTCATGGGGTGCGCTGGCTGTGATGGGGACTCTCAAACTTTGCCGTTTTGGGCTTAAACTCAACAATGTTTTGCTCCAAAGAACGGTGCAGGAGCAAGTACAAAGAGTCTGCCAGACTTACAGAGTTCTTTCAACGGCCAAGGCGCCACGTGTGACACCAACTCCTCCACTGTCTTGGTGATGGCAGCCTCACTGGCATTGCCACCAGAGCAATCTGACGGTGTGTGGACGTCCTCACGAGAAACATCCATGTCTGTTTTCGTTTATGCGCCTCTGGAATTCTGAAAGCAAGAGCGAATCTCAAGGAGACTGAAAGGACAGCCGTGGAGGCTTTGGGATGTCGGGGAGCTGTGCTTCTTTCGTTCGCCTTCAAAAGAGAAACACAGCTCTTTCCGGCGCCCAGTCCTTCTCGAAGATCTTACCCAGCAAAGTCGCCGTGATTGCTTCCACCATAACATCCGTCATGGATGTCATAGTGTCCGATGGTGCAGACTGGTCAGCGGATGAAGTTTTAGGTTCAGCTCAATGATTTCTTGGACTCTGTTGGGGTCTCGAAGACTTATATAAAGTTCAGCAGAAACAAAGAGATGCCCAAACGGGTAAGGACCTCTTTCATAAGGACACTTATTCGAGGGACCCTTACGTTCATCTCTTTTCTTCTTGTGGCTTAAGGTCATGCAAGTTCCAGAAACTCACAGCTGGCCAGTGCCTTCTTTTGAAACTGAGCCAGCTCTTCTCTGCTGATCAGGCCGTCCTACAACATTGTAGAGCAAGCTCAGGGCCCGTGGCTACTCATATAGAGCGGATGGGTTCATGACACGGTGTATTGACACTCGTTGGTGTTGAACCTGTGGGCCAGGTTAAGAAACTGCACAATGTATGCACGAGCGACTGCAGTGAATGAGTGCTTTTGGGAGGGAACAGGGGAGGTTGCACCCGTTTCACATGTTATCCAAATATATAATTCTGTTCTGCACAAATGTTGGAAACTACAGGTTAAAGTGAAAGGTTCCCTGCCATCCTTGTTCTTGTCGACAGCTCCAAATCCAACATCTGCCGCATGCTCCTGCAAAATGTCTTTGTGGGTGCTGCGCTCAGTGATGCTGTCATAGTTTGTTTGGGATGTTCCACTGCTTCTTCAAAGTGCTCATACTCATGCGTTGAATTTTGGTGGACAGTGGCTCTCCTCACCAGGCATCTGCAAAGCTTTTTTGGCAGCCTCCGAGGCTACATCGCGCAATACCTGAAATCTCAAATAAATTTTTGGATTCAATCAAGTTATGGCATGGAACTGTTCATCAGACTTTCAAGACGATGCAAAATGTTGCAAATGCGAACATCTCATAATCCACCTCCTCTCTGAACTTTGCACTCATTGGCCGACCTTCCGCCAGTTAGAGTCATGACGGAGAGGAAAAACTAGCCGGAAACCGTCAAAAGTGTTTCGTGCAGAGTAGGTTTTAGCCAACTTGAAAACATCTTGCATTGTCTGAACGAGCCTGTAGGGGCGACCTACAAACAGCATCAATTCGTTTCATCGCAGGTTTCAAGAGAAGCTTCGTAAAACCTCTCCGAGGGAACTCAATTTCTTGCCTTCAGGCGAAGGCCCTTGGCGTTGAGATCACCGCCCTTATGTGCAAGGGATATACCAGGCACCTCAACTCACAAAGAATAGCTGATAAGAAATCACTCCCAAATAAATGAGTAAATCATGCGTCAGCCAGCCTTGGCAACGTGCTCGCTGACAGCCTTCAACCTACAAGGGCATGAGCAATCACCAAAAGATTGTGCAAAAACCAGCAAGACAACGTTCTGACAGTAATTTGTGGTCATCGTGTTTTTTCCGCAAAGGGCTGAGCTACCAACAAAAGTGCTCCATCCTTTTGAAGCGCACGATGAGCAACCACCGCAGCAGAACCCACATCAGCACATGCAATCCTGGGTTCGGCTGGGATGCTCAGGAATTACCCGATTGGGTGCTCTAAGCCATGCACGACACGCGCACTAAAACGCTCCCTGGTGCCAAAGTGACCTAGGTCTTGAGATTGAAACTGGACCCAACTCCCGCACTGCGCAGTCTGAGACACAAGCACGTACTTGATCTGCTTGAATGCCAGCCTTTCCCAAAGAAAACAAAAGCACTGAATAGTAGAGAAGCTACAGAACTGAGCTTATGGTTCTCTAGGGTCTAGTGGAACCTAGTGTTCCAGCTCCGAGTTGGACAGTTGCGCGTGTCGGTGTCAGGACAGGTTTGTTCAATTGTTTAAGTTTCTTTGCCCCTTGCAGTGACTTGAAATGAACTGTATGTTTATGTGGGAAATCAAAACCAGGAAACAACGATTTCACTCTGGCCTGCTCTGCAACACCTCGTTGGATTGCTTCGACAACAGAACCGCAAAGCTGTGAGGATGAAATCACAGCGTCGTAGTCCATGTCTTCAAACCTTGGACCATTGACATTGAGGTTCAATAGAGTGTCTTTTTGCAGAAAAGCAAAAATCGTATATACAAATTACAAACATCATACTATCTTGTACAAGCCTTGCGCACAGTGATCCAAGTCCGAGACACTGTCAACTGCATAAGCTAGCGTTTATGCACAAGAATCTGCCCGTGTGCATAACTATAAATCACTTCGTTACTCTCTTGAAGGGATTCGGATAGGGGAATAGGAAGGCAAACGCATAGATACAAAGGCATACAGTAAATAGATACAAGGATTGAGATGAGCACGTTGTCCACCTCATTCTGAGCCAGAAACGTGAAATCTAGCACCGTGACGGAGGGTCCCTGACCAATCTGGTCAGTCGTATGCCAACATGCATTGCCCGTATCAACCAAACGTACAAGGAAGTTACTGCATGCATGAATGCTGCTATTGATCATGGGAATTCAAGGCGTGCAATGGGTTGAGTGCAAACATCTGAATTCACAGACTTGAAGACAAATAGATAGATCAATCACCAGCCTCAGCAACAGAGCTGGTAACGACTGAGGATGCAGGGCCTTGAAAGTTGCAACACATTCAGCAAGGGAAAATTCTCATCTGCTCACCTAACCACTCGAATCTTGAGGCCTGTGCCCTTTGGACGCATGTCCACATAGGGAAGCTGCACCTCGGAGGCTCAATCAAATACCACCAACTGGAGGCACCAACTACTGCGGTACAGCTATGATCAGCTATGCTGGTATGCTCGAACCCAAGGTTTACAGAATTTAAGTGTCATGATTATCATGATCATCATGGTGCTGTTCTGGCTTGCTTTCCAATTTGCTTCCAACAAAAGGCTTAGGTGAGCGCCAACGGTACAGATGCAACACTTTCCATATCCAATGTCGCCACGCTTCCCTCCCTCAAAACCTTGGCACTCAGCAACTCACGATGACCTATTTCCAACGTTCATCGGAATCGACACTGGCTGGTGGGTGCCAAGCCGAATCCAAGTTGGTTTCCAGTTGGGCTTTGAGCCAGCCATCGATCTTGGCCTAAGTCTACCCGCGGCTCCGCTATAAATGACAAACAACATCCAGAGAAACGTAGCATTCTTCTGCAGGGGACCCTCGAGGGCGCTACGTTGTGAATGTGCTCACACCCTCTAGAGTCCACATTCTGAGGCCAGCACACCTGGAGGTGTGTCGGTTCTGGAGCCAGCCATGCTGAGGGTGGCCACACTGTCTTCTTTCACAGCCTGAATGCTGTAACTCATGCGATCAATTCGTGACTGCGCGAGATCGACTCGTGGACCCTCGATGAAACTCGTGGACACTCACAAAAGGACCCTCAGAGCCTCAGAAAATCCCAAAATGCCCTACGAGTTTTAAGAATTCAGCTGGATTAATAAATACATGGTTGAAAACACCTTCTCAGCACTCCAGTGATGCATCATGCAAGGGAGGCTAGATACAGTAGGTGATTCTCTAATCAAACAGTGAAAACACTTAACTTCCTGAGATCTGCTGGGAGGCTCTTCATGGAACCAGACCCCACTGATCTCTCCACCAAGCACTGGGCCTGCTCCAAGCCCGCTTCAAGCAAATCAAGCTGCTCTTTCAGCCAGCTGTCAATCATGGCCTCAGAAGCACATTTACGCAAACTATGCCAATGCAGAACTTCTTTGACTTATCCTGGCAGTGGAAGTGCATCCTGGTTGAAACCAAAGGCAGAAGAATGGTAGGCGAACATCCCCTGTCCTTAACCTGGACGTTAGCAAAGCCGGATGACGGCTGTTTGATGCCGTTTGCAAAAGTAGGCTTGGGCCGAGGCTGGTGGCGTCTCAGTCCTCGAGTCTGCGTTGCTGACCACTGTGACGCTGCCCTCTCTGCCAGCCTGGGCAGGGGAGGGCAGCAAGACGACAAAAGGGAATGCATCTCTTCAGAACTACAACAAATGGTCTCTTCCATGTATCTCCTTTCATGGAACACACGGGCTATGTATTCATTCATTTTGATCTGCGGATATATACATATATATATATATCTATCTGCAGTATGCCGCTATGCCGCTATGCCCTCTCCTGGCGACTCCTGACGACCCTCACTCTTCCTATCCCCAAGTAGATTGGTTGTCTTGGATGACCTATAGCACCACATAAAGGAACCGAGCGGAATCGACCACATGGCACTAAATGACTTTGGTAGGATCTTGAGGATTACGTGAAGCGTGCACCCACGGTCAACCGGTGACCATAGGCCTCTGCATTGCTTTGAAGCTGCTTCTGGATCCACTGCCGCATGTCGGCCTGTGGAATACAGGCCGTGACGGCCCTACATGAAGTGTTCAATATGGTCAATTCTCAGATCAGAACGTGGGAAGGTGTTTCTTGTCGGGAACTGCTGCGGCTTTCGCACAGAGTAGCGACACTGTCCTCTTTCGCTGCCTGGAGGTGTCAGTAAACTGAGTGACAAAATGGACACAGCGGCTTTTGCTTCCTTTCAATCTGGTAAGAGCTCTCAAAAGCAAAGGGCTAGGGATACTGTCCTCCTGAAGGCTGGAAATCAAACGGTGGTCGAACCAATGCTTCAAGCGTACCTCGCCGCAGTGATACAAATGCTCTGGTCTCCTTTTGCACTCATGTTTGCTCCGGCATGTCCTGCAATGCGAGCCTGCTCCATCTTTGCTTCCCATTCAATTCGCCTTTTATACCTCAAACATCAAGTGTCCCACTAGTCCCTAGGCTGGTTGGCTGAAGGTCCTTTGGTAGTTCAACATTTGCAGCCTTTCTGGTCCAAGCGGGGCACAACTCGCGAGGGCTGACTGGTTTCACGCCCACCTAGTCAGTATATTTAACAGGCACAGTCGAAAACACTGGAAGATGCTTTCCGCAATGGTGCATGCGTTCCATGGGGTAACCGTGTAACCTAACCCCCTGTAGCAAAGGTTTACCAAAATGTGTTCAATCTCTTGGTGCAAGAAGTGCGTCCGATGGCCTCCGTGCCAGGCGCACTGGCCATGGGTGAAGTGCCTGGGGCCACAAGCTCGGACTTCCCGCGGACTTCTGCACGATCCTACTAGCGTCCTTACAAAGACAAGGATAAATTAGTGGCCACACAAGAACGAAGCTACACTGTACATGGCTATTGACTGCTACGGCGTTTGCCTGGCTATCCTGAAAGACTTTGGGATGAACAAAGGCAAAACGATGGCGCTTCCAACTCCACACCTCCTGACAGCGTGCCCCTGGGCATTCCGGCCTTGGTGTCTTTGGCTGGAAACAAAAAATTGAGACTGGTGTCTTCGTGGGTCTCATCTCCAGCCAGTATTGCACGGCATTGAACAGCCAACAGGTATTGATGGCCATGGCACATATGGAATCATTGAGGCCATGGCCGCAACAAAGTGTTCGACCAATCGGCCCACAACAGCCCGCTCATTCCTCACCTGACAGAGCCGAAGGGGCCGAAGCATGCTCATCAAGAAGACTCGGTTCGTTGACGTTTTGACAGGATGGCCTTGTTTTCCTCTGTCAGTTCCTGCTGGCAAGAATATTGACCACATCACTTGTTAACTGTGAAAGCATGGCAAAGTGAACCGATCGGACTTGTCCTCAGCTGCTGCAGTGGCCTGGTCAGAGCTCCAGCGGTTGCGACCCTTCTCGACTTGCCGGACAACATGTGAGCTCATGTCAGACCAGCGGCAACTTGCCACAACTACAGCAGCAGGCAGAAAGTGGGCCTGCTGCACAAAGTCTGAGAACTCCTGCAAATACAGTTGAATCAATCATGATAATCATGAGTAGTCAAAACATTGCAAAAGTGTCATGCAAGCACACGCCTCTCGGGTGATCACACCATCTTTGTTGGTGTCGATGTCTTCGAATGAAGCAGCAGCAATGGCAGCCTCGACCTGTTAGTTCCCTCTAGATTGACAGAGTACTCCAACTGAAGAACTCATATTCTCTGAAGTATCGAGAAACAGCAAAGACCTTGAACATCCTAGAGCTACGGCCTTCTCTTTCACAGAGGCAGGCGCCTGCAGCATGTGCAAAGCTGTATGGCACACTCTTGGCCCAAGCGAAATCATGATCCAGTAAAGTGATGCAAAAGGGCAGCCAAGCAAGTATGCAAAGTAAATATTCCACCAGTCAATATTCTGTTCTGTAACTTCTGTAGTCCGCACTTTGTGGAAAACCAAAAACATGACTTCTCTTCAGAAGAAAGTGATTGCCATGCAATGTGGAGCTGGGTGAGACATTTCCTGTTGACCGTGCCTGCTTTTTCGAGGGCTCTGCCTAAGGACGAGTGCTTCTTGCAATCAACTTTCCAAAGTCTTCAAACAAATCACACTGGCCTCCGCCCCTGGCTTTGTCATGCACCTCGGTACAGGTGTGATGCAACAGACCGCGTAGTTACTGACACATCTGTGCTCGGTGCCAAGTTCCAACAGAGGGCAGCAAGCGCCAGTCTGCCTCGAAGTGTATATATATATACACACACATAGAGAGAGAGAGAGGAAGATGTGTAATATACATATATACATATAGTTAGATATAGAATGATATAAGTATTGGGATTTGAAGGTATGCCATGCTGTGCCATGTGCGTTATGCCATGGTGTGCAAGTACGCATTTCACCAATCCTTCAGACCTTGGCAGTTTCAAACCGAATGTGCCGAACTGTGACCCATCTTTGACCAAGTCTGCCTGCCTTTGGCATTGCGACTGCCTCAGTTGTCTTCTCCACAAAGTCTTGGAATTCCTGGAGTGGAAGCCCCAAGTCCGGCATATCGTTTGGCGAACCATAGGGGTCAATGAGCGAATCAGCGTTGATCACTGAAAAGGAGATGGTGCAGATCCTTGAGTCACATGATTGGTTGCACAGTTGCATCCAAAAGCAATGCGAGATGGTGCATTTAGTTTAAGCTATATAATAGCGAACGCCACTAACCTACTAGCGATGGCCTCCAACCTAATAGCGAACTAGCGATGGGATCCATTTACACTGCAAAACAAGTCGTGATGAAGATCGTACATGCTTGACTAAGCCCGAAGAAACGACACTCACCTCCTTGGTGATCACACCATCTTTGTTAGCATCCACATCTGTGAATGTTGATGCAATGGCCTGCCGGACCTGCACTGTTGCTACCATTGAGAGTTTGTGGGGATGTTGAACTCCAACACAGGCGGATCAACAGCCCTGCATAAATCGAAGCCTTCTCCTCAACAACCAAAGGTGTTCGGGTTTTCAGGAAGTCTGTTAAAATACATGACACTTGGCCTCTGCAGTGAGCCGTGGCTTTGGGTTGAACCTGGCATACAAGTTGCCCTTGTTCCGAATTGGATGCTGTGTACTTGACACAGTGAAGGGAATGAGTAAGGCGTTTCCGTTTCCATATGTCCATCCGATCCATGTCTCAGGGTCTGTCAGAGCGCTCCATGCCCTTGCTCATGGTACACGCCATCGTCACAGTTACTCCGTTCAAAAATCTATCTAATTGCACCACGTGCTGGAAAAAAAAAGAACTGAAGCAAAATGGGACTGAGAAGAGGCACCAAGTTCCAACGGAGGGCAGGAAGTTCCAGTAGACTGATGCTAGTGCTGCCACTGCGGAGGGAACTGCATCTGTTGATGGAGCTGCCTTCCAACATGAATGAATAGCAGAATAGCACAAATCACTGCTGTTGCCGTTGATTCTAACGCAAAAAACAACAAGATGACAACCTTCCCATTCTCATGGAAACGTGAGGAAAAAGGAAGATCGCTGCCTGAGATGAACTCTGCGCCTCAGTCAATGTCACAACCGGCCACTAACTGTGTGCAAATGGGTACAAAGGACGTCTGCTGGTCGCTGGAGGCAATTTGATTGCGTGGATGAAGGTGAGCTAGGCAAGCTAAAGGTGCCATTAGTTACTCTACCTTTAGCGGTATGAAACGGTTCCGAGGTTTAAATTGTACGTGATGATGGCGACAGCAAAGGGTTTGCCTCATTGCTGACATGCGGCCCCCTCATCACTCATGCTGGCTCGAACCTTCGCAACGAAAATGGCAAACTCCTGGCAGGCCCGATCTTTGTTTCCAACGGACCCATCATCCTAGGAGCTTGAACAGGTAGAATATGATCATGCTACAGAGTTTCCTGATAGGCTGGCTGATGGAGTCTGAGAAGCAATTGTCTAGAATCAAATAATTGTCTTTGTCCCTTTCATACACCGTCAATTCTGTGGGCCCAACAATCCCAAACCAGTGAGTTGTCAACTCTGACAACTCATTCAAGCAGGCTACTACATCGAATCGTGAGAAGATTTGACCCTTTCCGCCTCCGGGGTAATTACACCATCTTTGTTCAAGTCGATGTCATCAAAGGATACTTCAGCAATTGCAGCGAGCACCTGTCAGGAGTCTCCATGAAACACAGTTTCATGAAAACGTTGCACCAGCATGATCGTTCCCAGAAAGACTGGTGCTCCAAGCTCTATCAACTTATCGGCTTAGCGGGTTTGAGTTTTCAGGGGCTGACCTTCTTGTTGGACAAGGACGGAAACATCGCCTGCCGCAGCAGACTCTTGGTACGAAAAGAGAATAGTTGCTCGTTCACCCCAACAAAACCCATATAGCTACTGTAAGTTTGGGAAAGACCACAACACCACAAGGGGTATCAGCGGCATTGTGCAGACCGAACTGGCTTTCGTGCCTGCTGCATGCGTTGGTCCTCCTCTGGAATTGGATTCTGGAGCAGGTTGCTATTGGTAACTACTCAAGCTATGCCACCACAAGGCACATCCAAAACATTTCAAGATTCAAACTTGAGAATTACACATTCCAAACATACCTCTCCATGTCCCCTGCACAGTTTCGTTGTTTTATATATAATACATATATAAAGACTCCCTGCTCTTCACTCTTTTTTGTCAGCGATGCAAGACCTAGGTGGTCACAAAACTTAGAAAACATTCACGAAAAAATGTCTGGTTTGAGGCTCCCATGCCTCGGACCCCCCGCGACTCTCCCCCGCCTAGCCGGGGTGAGAGCGAGCCAAGGGTCACAGGGTGGTCCCAGGCCCCGCCTAGCCTGGGGACATCTGGGCCACCACCCTTTCTGTCTTCTGCTTTTCTTTTTTCCGCCGGCGGTCTAAATTCGAAAAAGAAACGAGAACTACTTGTGGTGCTTCTTCTTGCCATGTCTTGCCTTCTTTCCACGTCCCCCTGGCCTCCCCTTTGGGGGAAGCTCAAGGGTTTGGAGCGGTGACATTGAAGACTTGACAAATTGTCGGGCATATGCTTTAGCTGGTGCATTAAAAGTCAACTTAAGTTCCGCTAGGACTGCCAACCCCTCGTTGATGTAGATTCGGGCCGTCTTTGACGAGGCCCACCTCTCGCCCAAAGTACATCGTAGCGCCTCCTCGCCGAAGGCTGTAAGGTCGGAAATCATGTCCACCAAGTTGACAGGCTTCTAGGGCATCATTGAAGGTCTTCCTCCAACTATGGGCTGTACCACAAAGCAAAGAAGGGCTTCCTGGTGTATTCAACCGTTGCCACAACCTGCGGAGCGTCTCCTCTTCTCGGATGGTCACGCTTTCACTGGCACCAACTCGCTTCCCACCCTTAGTCATCCCCAAGGAGATGACCGCGGGCGACCTGGGTCCCACTTGCGTGATGTGAGCCTTTCGAACACCTAGAAGCTCCCCGGTACGCAGGAGCCCATGAAAAGCAAGGAGCAGTGAAAGTCCAAAGAGGCTGTTGCCGGAGAAGAGCGAGTAGCCAACAAGCACGTGGGGAGCCTCCACTGGAAGTGGGGGAGCTTGGTTTGGTATTTCATTGGCCTGCCAGGTCCGCAGCAAATGGGAAGGTGTCCCCGGATGGCTGGCTGTTGGTCTTGTACTGAAGCGATTGTGTCACACGCGAGAGCGCGTCCCTCGCCAGTCTCCCAGAGGAATTCAATGTACTGAGAAAGGAGGTAATCATGTCCAGCTGCATCTCGGGGAAAAGTGCGGCCTTCGTCTTGGAGATAGCTCTTGTACTTGTCGAGGGCTTTGTTGTAACGATCACGAGTCTTGCTTTGCACTGTAAGGTTTCGGAGCGGGCCTAGATTTCTTCTCTGTGCCTGTCTGGCTGCTTTACTTCTACCTTCGAGATGCGCTGCCTGTCTTCTCACCATTTTTTGCGAACGGGCCGCCGAGACGGCCGATCTGCAGGGTTTTGAGAAGTATGGACATACGCCCATACTCCATGGTTTCCCGAAGCTAGAAGTAAAGCATCTATGCGACAAAGCGTCCTCCTCATCTTCCTGCTGCTGCTTCGTCCATGTGACAGAGAATGTAGGCACACAAGACTATCGATCATATAAATAAATTTGGTGTGAAAGGCCCTTCGTTTCATGATTCGCCACTTGAGGGTGGTAAGCACCGCCCGCATCTCTAGCACATTGATGTGCTCTGGCGTGCCTTTCCACCGCCACCCTGTTATAGTCTTCCACTTCCAGAGGGCTGCTGGCAGGCTCGCGCGAAGGCGATGATAGCGCAATGTCTCCTCAGACTGAGCCTGAATCATGATGTCTTCACCTTTCAAACTGACTAAGTTCAAGAGCTTCTCCACCAACTTCTGACTGTTACCACTGCTCCCCGTTCCAGCAGGAGCACCAAGTGGCGGCCTCTGCAACACTCCGGTCCGTACTGCTTCTTCCTGGCGTAGTTCGGTCGACAGCCTGCTGAGGCGACAGGAAGGGGCTGAGGCCCAGCTGGCCTCCCAGCTGTGAAATGAGCCATGTCACAACTGTGACGTTCGACGTGTTGCCAATGAGCGTCCTTCGTTCATCCAAATGCGCTGGAGTACCATGGAACTGCTTACTCATGCACTGAAAGGTGTAGTCCCTTGGAAACCCCATGACCACTTCTCTCTCATTGACAGTTGGGAGACGTAGGCTGCCTCCCGGCTCCTGAATGAGGTTCTTCTTCTGGTACTGGTGGGGGGGGAACCTGTAGTGATCCTCCTCCCATGACCTTCGCTCTTCCTCATTCAATGTGGACAGTCCTGCTGGTTTCCGCCCCGGATTTTCTCTAGGCCGTGAGGTTGTGAACGTAGGCAGCGGCTCGCGCGAGGTCCGCTGGCACCCAGCCTCAAGAAAGAACTCCTCCTTCACCTCTGCCTTGAGTTCAACTGTCCTGTACTGAGCACTCCCCGAACCCATAGGAGGCTGGATCACGACTCCCCGCCCTGGGAGCAGTTCCCAATCACACCAATAGAGTCGCGGCCGACGAGCTAATGAGACTCCTGCTGCGTCAATGCACGCGGGGGTGTCCCCAAAGGACTCCGTCATCACTTTCCTGTCACACTCATCCATGCTCATGACACTCTCGGCTAGGTATCTAACCCGTGCCCTGCAGGGAAATTGGACCTTCACCAGTTCACGGATTCTCGTGACGTGACTGAACAAGCAACTGCGATGATCACGAAGTGCTCCTCGCCGATTGGCATTAAGTCCACTGACCCCTTGACACGGAGGGCCGGCGCCGACCAGGACAACTGCTGCCTGCGAGTATCGAGAGGCCCAAGACCGCACCATCTCATCATCCACGGCCTCGACGCCCTCCTCGATGAAAAGAGTCGACGGGAAACGGCTCTCCAACACTCTGCTGGCCTCCTTCTTCACCTCGACACTGATGTGGCCAATGACCCCCAGCCCGAGGGAGTCTGCTGCAACCCTTAAGGCTCCAATGCCATCGAAAAGGCCAATGGTGAGCACCGCATGAAGCCTGCCCACCCCGTGTTGATGGCGATGCCTCCCCCTGTAGTTGACGCATCACTCGCAGTGACCTCCCCGCTAACTAGGAGGCGAAAACTCAGCTTTGCCAGAGGCATCAGACAAGCAAATCTAGAGACTTCCAACCTCACCCCCGTCGGTATGGGCAACTTGATGAAAGGGGGGTATCCCCGGAAGCTCTCGATGAACTGCCAGAGCTGATTCAGTGAGCCAAGCGAAGGACGACGGAACATACTGATGTAAACCAACCCTCCAGCAACAACTTGCGCCTGCTTCTGGGTGCAGGACTCCTCTTGGAGAAGAAGAGTTGCCAATGCGAGGTACTTGTAGAGCTTCACCGGCTTGGGGTAGGCTACTCCTGTTTCGCGATCGATGATCGCCCCTTGCACCTCAGCCTTCAAAGACCTGCACACTGCCTTCTTTGGATGTCTAGGTATTCCCCAATCCTCGTACTCAGCCCGTGGAGCCAACAGAGCTGGACTCGGCTCCCCTTGTACGAGCTGCGCCGTCCTACGATCCATCTTCTCGAGCAGGTCAAAGTTGTCGAGATAGACCCGGTGGAGCGTTGAGGAACCCGAGAATGGCCTATCTTTGCGTATCTCTGCTGAACCTTCAAGATGGCCTGGAACTCGAAGACCTGCTCGTCGCACAATGTTGCGGTGCACATGCTGTGCTACACTTACAGAGTTCTTGAACCCCATGGGAAGGACCTGTGATGCCAAATAGTAAGGTCCATCCAGCGTTGGCCAGAGCTCTCTCGGAAGCATCTTGTTGAAGGCCAACAGCTTCCTCCACTCACTTGGGATCTTGAAAACAAAAAAGAAACAGCGCACATCCTCAGACGACACCACTAGGTCCTCAGTGGGCATGACCTGCAGAGGGCTCATCGTAGCCCAACTTGGTAGAGTTGAAACGTCGCCTTCGAAGGCTCGGCAGACTAGGTTGCATGGCCGAAGGTCCATGATGAGTCGGTGAACAGGCATGCCGCCTACCTCTTCGTCTTTGGGGACGCCAAATAGCCCGTTCAATACTGGTGCACCATCAACACAGTAGATCTCCTTCTCATGGATAGGAACGCACACGCCTCTGGACATCAATCCTTTGCACACCTCCTGATCATCATGGACCATCACACGTGGCGGTTTCATCTTCTTTTGAATCTCCCCGGGTAGGAGATACTCCAGGAAGTGATCTACGCAATGCTTGCAACCAAGTTCACAGACTTCGGACAAATCAACCGACGCCACTTCGGCGGGCATCGCAGGGGCCAGGTTGGCCCAGGTGGTCGGACATGCACAAAGCACTTCATCACCGCAGTAGTCGATGGTCTTTAGCTGAAAGAAGTTTTTCCACGACGTCTCTTCCAATCTTTCGGGCCATTCCATGACCACTTGAGCCTCCTTATATAAACCTCTAACCACCAGCCCCTGCAGCTTAGTAGGATGGAAATGGTTCTCAACAGCCTCCCCATAAAAGCTATTCAACGCACAACACATGCCCCTCGCAATCACCACTTCTCGCTCAGGCGCCTCCACCATCTTCTTGAGGTAGAACATACTGGTGGGCAACGGGAACACGTCGCCCTTGGGCTGGGCCTTGCATCGCGGCTCAAGACCTATTTCTTCACATGTATGAACCAGTACATTCAAAACCCAAGGGACGGTTTCAGCAAAACTATCTCCAGCACTGCCAGCACTCGGCGGTCTCATGCATACTTTTCAAGCGCGACAAAGTCCTGTCGTTCGCTCGATGATGGCGGGGAAGTGGCCTGCATACTCAGCCTCACATCCGCCTCTTCTGCACACCCGGCCTCCGCATCGACTTGATGTTCGGCGGTCAGGTTCGTTGGAAAACTGCCCAGGCATCCGCCTGGCTCCACCGTGCCAAGCTCCCCTTCAAATGTCGTCGCAGTGGCTCATAGCCTGCAAGGGGTCCCTCATCTCTTCCTCTTGCAGTCACTTCTTTGGCTCCTCCTTCTGCTTTCCCTTCTTGCCTCTGCCTTTCATCTCCTTTCCTTTTCTGTTGGCGTCTCCTCCGCTCTCGCTCCAGGAAGCATTCTTCCATCCTTCTCCTTTCCCCTTCGCCTGGGAGGCCTCCGACTTGGTCTTGGATTCCTCTTTCTGTTCTCGGATTGCCTCTTTTGCTTCGCTCCTCGTGGATAACACTGGACGTTCCGGAGGTAGAACCTCGAGCCTCTGAGCTATTTGCCACGCCGCTCCCTGCGAAACCAGTTCGATACTTTTCAATCTCTGAACCAGACAGACGGCCGATTCGGCCACCCTGCCTTGCAGGATGAGGTCGATGGCAAAGCGCCTCTCTCGATGGTGCACCCTGAAGCCGAGGCGCCATGGCTTGACGATAGTACTGGATCGAGAGAGGGTGAAGTTCCGTCTCCTCTTGCTGCCAGATCCCTCCGGTGCTGGTTAACAAGGCCCCCTGCATCTCCTTTAGAGCTTGAGCAGCTAGCAGGCCGGGCGCCCGCTTTGCGATCCGACGGATCTGGTGCTCCTCGGCGAACACTTCTGCTGACTCCCCGCTGTAGGAGCCGCTGCTGCTGTTCGAGCTGCTGCTTGACGATGACCTTCTCCTCTTCTTGACTCGCTTTTGGGCCTTGTTTGCAAACCTCCGGCGGAATCGAGGATCCGGAGACAGTCCTGTTCCGCCCAGCACCTCCTCGAGCTTCTTCTTTGCACCTCCTCTCAAACTGATCTTCTCTCTCGAACGACTTCGGCTCCGATCTCTTTCTCTGCTTTTCCTCTTTTTCTTGTCTCCTCGATCGCTTTTCTTGCTGGTGGTCTTCTCTTTCTCTCTGCCGCGATCTCCTCCTCCTTTCTCCTTGGCCTCCCCGCCTAGGAGACCGCCTTCGACTGGCCGCCGTACAGGTTCGCCTGCCTCCACCAAGTTGCTCATCCAAGGCAGGTCCTCCTCCACCCTCTTGTTGATGCTGACGCCGTGGAGGAGGTTGTCGGCTTCGAGGCGGTCCGGACAGGCGCCCCCGCACAAGTGCACTCTCAACAGTTCCGTGGGGTTGCCAGTCGACCACTTCAATAGATTCTCCTCGTCTGTCCCCTAGAGCTTGAGGGAAACTTCTATATTGGCGGGACTTCGCACACGGATATCCTGCAGGAGCCCGGCCACTCACTGCAACTCCTCGCCTGAACACCCCCAGGACATCTCAACTGTTCTCCCTTCTCGAACCCGTCGATGAGCCTAGGATCACTGGCTGCCTCAGGTTCTTCTCGTCCTCTTTCTCTATCGTCCTCCTCAACCTCTGCCCTGACCGCAGGGCGCCTTCGCACTCTACCTCCCCGAATAGGAGGCTCCTCCCTTCCAGCTCGCCGGATGTCGGCCTTGCTCTTGGGGGCATTGGTGAGATGACCAGGTCAACGACCTCCCTCATCTTGCTGGTAATGCCTCTCTCGCTTTTTCACTCCTTTGTTCATCCGTAGTAGGATGGATCGAGCTTCCAACCCCTAGCTGGACCTTGCCAATAGCTTCCGGAGGGTCTCTCCTTGGCCTTGGCCACAGGCAACCTTTTGGGGGGCTTTGGCTTTGGCGGTGATCGGGAAGGTGTACGAGGTGGTCGAACACTGGGTTTGGCCTTTCTCTCTTTCCCAACCTCTGCGTCCTTCTTCGGAGTCTTCTTTTCAGCGTCGGATGACGTAGGCCTCCTACGCCTCCTGTCCCTTCTGCTCTGAGATCGACGCGAGTGGCGTCTGCTTCGGCTTCTCCTCGATGATCTTCGCCGGTGGGGTCGCTGGCGGTCTTTCTCCTTCTCTGGCTTGGAGCCGCTGGAATGCTTGCCTTCCTCCTCAGCGTCTACCTCCACCAGGCCCAATCGCGAGGTCCCCGAACTGGGAGCTCTTTCTTCCTTCGGCCTCACCCAGCTCTTGTCAATCCTCTCCTCAGGCTTGGACTCGTTCACGGCCGCACTCCCCGACTCAGGAGTGGCTGCACCCTCTGCTGCCGCGCTTCTCGGGATGCTTGTCCAAATCCTAAGGTTCTGGAGCGCCCACCCCCTCGCTCGAACCGGCAGAACGTCGAGGGTCCTCCAGAACCTGTCTCTCGAGCGGCAAAAAGTGCAGATGGAATCGGACTCAGAGCACTGAATCCGACAAAGGCCGCAAGGATGCATACCCTTTGAGCCCAAACACTATACAAAAAAGCGATTCCCGATCGGTCGTCTTAATATCCGGGGACGGAAGTACATATATATATATATATACATAGTTTGCAGTCCTTTCAACACTCTCTCTCTCTCTCTCCCAATCAGTCCTGGACATCTGCTCTGGCTTGAGGGCTGAGCATCGCCTCGGGGCAATCGCCAAATTGAACCAAACCGCATGGGGAAAAAGCAGCCCATGCGGACTACAGTCACTACAGATGTGTGGCTGATCATTAGGTACCGCCGGGTCTTTTAATGGCCCAGCTATTGTCGGGCTGTCTATTAGACGCCTGTCTATGGGCTCTTTCTGTGAGGTGCCATCAGAGTTGTCATAGTTCTTCAACAACAGCACCACACAAGCGCAAGTCCTACTTTGAAACAAAACATTTTGCATACAAGGCTGATATGCTGACAAACTCTGGTGGTTAAAGGCAAACATCTGATGACTCTCAAGTCTGATCATACCCGGAAAACAAAGCAAGCATTGGATAAACATCATGCAAACCTTCATGGCAAAAAGCACAAATCCTGTTCAACGTATAGCCGCCTCTGGGCTCTTCTCTATGAAACTTTCGCATCAACAAAGTAGATGTGTGACCGGCCTCTATGGGTGCATGACTCGACATGGGTGACGTTCCTGACAGGATCACTAGCTGGACAGGTGCAAGAGCCAATCACTACATGAGAGAACAACCTACAAACGCTGCCTCCTGATTGAGTGGCTCGTGGAACTGTGCCGGCCTGAAAGAACTTTGCAGCTACTGAACCAAAGCTTAGACACACCAACAAGGAAACAATTCCTAATATGCCGACAGTGTCTGTCGTCAAGTTCCGTCACCCACTGAGTAGCACGGTCGCTTTGTGGAAAGTGCCAGGACTCCGGCGGTAACAAGTCCCTCCACAAGCTGATTGGCAACTGCTTTTTCAGCCTCTGCCTGTGGAGATTCTTGGTCAGAAGCACTTTTGAGTGTCAATTGGATGGACAGTTTATGCTGTTCACTGAATGCTGTGGGCAAGAAGACCTCTCACCAACTTTTTGTGATTCATTCTAGATGATTGAGAATTGAGACGATTCCGGGAGTCATTTCTTTGGAAGCTCAACTATTCTTCTGCAAGGAGGTCCGGCCTGCTTCAGTGCCTCTGCATCATCCACCTGACGGTCAGAAACGCAAATCCAAAACAAAAAAAATATCAAATGCAATGTCAACAGCATGTCGGTCCAAACAAAAAGTGTCATGAATCTGTTTATATAGAAAGACTGCTCTTGTGCAGGTTTTATGAGGTGTTTGGGCTTGGACCAAAACGATTTTATGTCAGTTGCTCCCGGTTGGTCTACAAGTCGTGTTCTGCTGCTGCTTTGGAGATGGCGCACACCTTCTGTGGAGACGTCGTCACAATCAAGCCCCACAACTGCTCATGACAGAACAAATGTCCTGGCCTGTTCTTCTCTGGGCAGAGGTGGTGGCATCTGGTCAAAGAATGAAAAAAAACAAAAGCAATGATGTTGCACTCAGGCTCTCTCTGCTAGTCAAAGTACAAAAGCACCAGTGCGCAAGTGTGTGGACACTAACATGCCTTGGGAGCCACCACAGGTTTGGGAATCATGTACCTTGGGCAGGCTGGATCAGACCAACAAGGAGCTGATAGCCATGGGCTGGTTCTAAACTTCATGAGCTTTGTGTGCTTATATTCAGCTCTTCGAAAACAGGGGTCACCAGGTTCCCACAGATGGCAGCATATTCCACTCAGGCATCGGAGTCTCTTCTGGCTCCTCATAAAGCGGGGAAAGGGTGTTCAGACCAGTTGTGGGGCGTCTTGCACGATATGCATCAGGCAAGGAAGTAGCAAAGTCAGCCATCCTCATCCAGCCTTTCCAATGGACCTGCACATCAGAGTTGGGCATGAGCAACGTGTCACATTAGATCTGCAGTGCGCTTCTGATCTTTTCCAAGCAACTCATGCAGACTATTGACGTGCATTCTTGGAGGCGGCCTTTCTTCAAAGAGTCCGGAAAGGCTGCCTGGAAAACGAAACCGGAGACACTCCGAGAAAAGAACAAAGGGAAAAGCTACTAGGGGCTCCTGGCCTTACTACTAGGAACAAGGATGCTACTAGGAGCAAAGGGCATCGCTACTAGAAGCAAGGACGCTACTAGGGACCACCGTCGTGCAATGTATTCTCCACCAGGACTCGGGAGGGCGAAGGCGGCCATGGGAATGGATGGACCAAATGTGTCCAAGCCAATGTTCATCTAAATCCCCACAAAAGAATCCTCAGATTGGTGATTGAATTGCAGAGCCCGAGAAACTATCAGTTGGAGCTTCTTAGACAGTCTAGTAATCAGTTGAATGAAACATGAGATACAAAGCCTGCGAGCCCCTGCAAAGACTTCTCAAACAAGCTGTGCCTCTGGTAGAAGAGCAGCAATCGCACCTGAAACTGTGTGTCAAGAACGACACCGATCTGGTCACTCCAACTGTTGAGTCCACTTCACTCACGCAGTTCCAAAGCAACTTTTCCGTTGAGTGTCTTTTTGCACTTCCAAAGTCAACGCTTCCCCACTAGCACGCATCACCTAAAAGGCATCCGTATCACCTTTGTACTGGCGTTCCGTTGATTCTGACTCTGCAGGGACTATACTCGTTTTACCATGACCAACGTCAACTGTATGTTACTTGAGCAACAAGTGTGCTAAGCAGCATGCTTGCCTAAACTCAATCCTCTTGTGGTGCATGTGTATATATATATATTATATATATGACTATATGTGTGTGTGTGTATATATTATATAGTGTTTCATTAAATGTATTGTGTGTGTTCTCCCCGATGAGGTTAGGTTCCTCACCCCAAGGATCAGCAGGTCGATCCTGGCATGGCTAAGAGTCGATGGTGATGATAAGAGTCAAATGGTCAAATCAGCCAACGGGTGATATACTGTAGAGAATTGGAAACAGTATAAAATGTCAAAGGCAAAGGGTTTCAGAAGGAGGCTCCAATTCATTCACCAATCAAGCTCCTGCACTAAGGTCTTCAGCACCCTCTCCACAAAAGGCAGGATGTTGTGTTCTTCCAAGTAGGACCGCGCCTGTGCCACTTCCAGAAACCAATTGAGTGGAAATGATGGCGGAAAGCAAACGCTGGAATTTTCAAATGTCCACGAAAACCGGTGAAACGAAATAACCTTAAAATAATATGTGAAACAGGCGAATGAAGCTGCCTGACCTTGCAGGCAGATTCAGCGTCGGGTCATTTCGAGATCAAAACTGATAGACTCTGTGCCACTGGCCCACTATACTAACAACAATGTGAGAACTTTCATGGAGCAGAGCTCAGTTCAGCATCTAGCCGCGAACTGATGGAGTCCTCGATAGGATCGATAGGGCAAGAGTATAGATATTATGATATTATGTATATACATACAATCCTCTGTCAAGCTCAAATCTTTACACCAGAAACTCAGCAATACACTTTTCACCTATCTTTACACACCACACTTCCATGGTCCCATCTCGTCTGTAAAAAAAAGTCTGTTGCTCTGAGCATCACACTCGTTCCTTCACTTCCTCAAAGAAAAGTCAGACCTCGGAGATGGTTCTCGCACAAGTCAGCCTGAAAGTGGAAAGAACATGTTTCGAACATCAATATCTATCGATAGTGCCTCGTTTCGAACATCCAACTGCCTCAAGAACGTCCATGTTTTGGGAGCCCGACCAAGGCCACCAGCCCCCAGGACTCCTGGGTCGTCAGCTCTGGAGCAGCTGAATTGCTGTCTTAACAATTGAAAAAGGAGAAAGAGCGAAGATAGAGGCCAAGGGATGCCAAGGGTATTTTAAAGAGGCGCTTTGTCTTCTTTGTTTCTTTTGTAAGCACGCTTCACTAAGGTCTCCTTTTTGACATGGCAGCAGCCGCTTCAACACCTCCATCAGCGGCCTGACAAACAGTACCGTGTCGCTGTAGTGATGTCTGTTCATGACAGGCCTCTAGGTCATTCGAAGAAAAGCCCACTCCCCTCAGGGAAATGCGGTCGCAAGAAACATATACATGCCCGTAGTGGCACAAAGCAGACCTTTTCCAGCTTCATGGGCCAATGTAGAAGGAAATGTTTCAGACCTGAGCATCCTGCGTGCGGTCAGCTGCCCGAAGCCTGACAGCTGACCATCCACTTGCAGCTTTCCAAGATACTGTACTGTTTCTCCGTGTGATTTGTCGTCTTCCATGAAAGGAAGCACTAAGATGTACAAAAACGATGGATACATACCTGCATGGCTTCTCTTGGCATATCGAGTTCCGCTTGGTTGATATGGATCGAAGATGATATCGTGTGAATTAGTGCGCTTCCGGCGCTTCCACACCTGAGTGCGCTTTGCAGGAGATCATCCACGGGAACTGGAGGATAGTGCCTTATGAATGCCAGCAGCTCATGTTCAAACACCAGTTGCTGTAAGATGCTGAGATGGTATATTCAGTGCCAACTCCAGAAAAACTGAGAAGGTTGGATCCTGGATTTGTACTGCCGCTTTCAGAGGGGTGGACTGCAACATCCGCATGCAGTCTGTGAAGTCTCCTGCCAATAGCACCTGCCAAAAAAAAACATCCGTTGTCGGAAACAGCTTTCAAAGCAGCGAGCACCAGGAAACATATGGAAAGATTGATGCAAATCCTCCCAATCAAATCCAATCAACAAAACTGTGCTATGCACTCTTGAATGCATCAGTGGCCTCTCTGATACCAATCACCATGGCCACGCACAAATAACCTCAAGGCTTTCTTTGCAAACCAATAATCTCTTGAGACTCTGAGTCTTGCACAAAGAAGAGGATGTGGTCTGGCAAGGTCACCTGCCAACTTTCATCAGCTCCAGCAGCGTGCAGCTGCTCTGTTTTGAAAGATCAAACCACTTGCAGAATAGGCTCTCTCACAAGATTGCCAGCTTTTAAGCACAAGTGCAAGCAAGCTGGCTGTGTTTCAGTGCAACGCAACTCAGAAATGAGCTTGGACACTCTGAGACTCTGGCTCAACAGGGAGTCCCACAAGCGGAGCACATCTGCCATGTCAAGCTCCTGGGGCACATGAAGGCACTGATCTTTTCTATGTGCTTCCTCAGTTCATATGATTGCCATGGATATTTTCGTTTCAAGCAGGCCAAAAAACAGAAACTCGTCTCTTGTCGGCCCACAGCGAAGAAACGAAGCCGAGATCCTGAGTGAGCATCAGGGTCAGCCACCTCAGTGGATGCCGCAAATCGGCTAGGCAAAGGGCAGGCCCGTACAGGCGCCACTGAGCAAGCCACGGGACTGTGTAGTACACCGGAACCACATTTAGTTCCTCTAAGTGCTTCCAGACCTGGACATAGGGCATCCAACATCAGCCACTATCCGCTCAGTTGCCCTCTAACAGTATCATAAGACGCGTGTGTTGGGCGCAAGCTCTGATCCCACCATTCCAACAACCTATTCTGGATGGCCCATGCCCCTGGCCACAACCGCAGGAGGGGATGCAAATTTGCCCCGGGCTCACAACGTAGCTTCCACAGGTAGGTATTTCATGGTGGTTATAACCTTTAGGCTTTTCACATGGTAGCTTCATTCCCTGTCTGAGTCCAACCCATGGCAAATCACGCCCAAGTGCATGGCACCCAATTATATATAAGTCAAGTAAAACTACGCTATGCCCTTGCCCAGGGTGTTCAAATAAAAACAAAATCAGTGTTTAGATTTGTGCCAAGGTTGATGTCTAAGGCAACAGTTCAAGCTCGCGAGTTGTGCCTCCTCATCCTTTTCCTTCAGCAGCGTGCTGAACTTATCAATTCGGCCCATCATGCCACCTTCCTCGTTGTCCATCGTCTTTACGAAGGCATCGCGCATGTCAGACATCAGAAGGCTGAAGCAGAAGAACGTATCCGCCTCAGCTTTGCTTCGTTTTTCTTCCTTGCTCGAGCTTTTAAGAGTGCCCGACCATCAAAACGAAAGAATGTATTTGTATATAAATTACATAAAATATATGATCACATATCCAAGGATCCTCTGCATGCAATCCATTCAGTGGATCCTGTGCAAACAAATAGTACAAGGGTGCCAAAAGCTCATTCATGCCCTGCACATAGCGGACACCACGATTGAGCTTCGCATAGAGAAGCAAGATCCGTGCCAGCACGTCATAGTGGCTCTTGGGATTCACCACGTCGATGCATTCGGGATCTCGACTGGTCACGGCCTCCGTGACCTCCCAGGCGTTGAAGCTGCGGTCTTCACCCTCCTGGACTCGACTTGTCGAGACTAGTAGCGTCCTTGTTACTAGTAGCGATGCCCGCGTTCCTAGTAGCGATGCCAGGAGCTACTAGGAGCTTACTTGTATATAGTAATGGCCTCCAACTTAATAGCGATGGCCTCCACCTAGTAGCTTCTAGCTACTATTGGCTCCTCCAACTTCAAAGATTCAGATGCAGCTGCTAGGGTGCGGCAAAAGAAGTCCATCTCAGGCCTTTCATGCAGATGTAATGTTTTCTCAGCTCAGGATAGCTTGGGTGTCAAACTACCGATTTGCCTTGTTCGCAGGACATCCTTCCTGATCTGCTCAAGCACCTGCCAAAGGCGACAAAAAAAGACAGTATGCGCAAGCTTTGTTCGCAGAGCGCGCAAAGATGTCTGCGAAATCAAAAATGTCGGAACCTAACAACTGTAACAACCCCACTGAAGGGCTGCATTCTAATTTCAATTAAACCTTACCCTTACGCAGCTGTCGCGTGGTTCTGCCTCAGCCAAGGGCACCACGTGATCTTCAACAATATCCGAGGGCCAAGTTCCAGGCCTTTGCTGTGCCTCGAAAGACTTTGGTTGACACCGACACTTTGGTTGACACTTACAGTATAACTTTAAAGATTTGCTTAGCGACACTCTTCGCCTGATTCCCAGCTTGAGCAAGGTCGGCCGGCAGCTCCGATAGCAATTCCTTCGGAGTTAGACATGACATGACATGACACATCTACTAAGTCTATGGGCGTTTCGCTTGCACAACTCTTTTGGTAAGTGAAAACACAACTTTGGATGCGCTTTCCTGGAGGAAGGTCTGGTAATCAGCACGAGAACTCGCCAGTGTGTCATCCCAGCGAAAGGCGTCGCATGGCCTCAGTCTGAACACAACGACCTTCGGCAAGTCTTCATCCCTTTAGGCCAATAAGATCGTAAAGGCTCCGATCTTGGACAAAAATCTCCAGATCTGGAGATCAATGGTACTTTGGCAAGTGGACAGGTGACAGAAAGCCCAAAAGAAGCTTCCACAGTGCAGCCCGTAGTGCAGGAGCCTAGCACTCACAGAACATCGGGATGGTTGTCTTTCTTTTAAGACCGAGGGGTTTAGGCTGCTAGTAGAGGGGTAAATAGTAGCCTAAGTAGCTACTAGTATCGACGCAGGATCCCTCACGCTTCTTCCAGGAAGCTCCCCCCGCCGCCCTCAAGGCGGCGGGGGGAGCTTCCTTGAAGAAGCACTCGCACTAATATTGATTTGTTTCCTAGATGTTCAGGGAAACTTAACTATAGCTGCTACAACTCTGCCTCATCCGGAATGCCGTCTGCACAAAGAGATCTCATCACATTGAGATCAATCTCCAGCACTTTGGGTGAGTCTCCATCGGTGATCCGCGGGGAAACACAGTGCCTTGGCAGAGGATAGGGTGAGCCAAGCAGTGAGGTCCAGTTGGCTGGTGGTGTCCAACCAAAACTAAAGGTACGACTCGTGGGTTTCCAGAATATGTCACTCAAAGCTGGCATGCAACATGCAGTAAAGGTGCAGCAAACGAATCAAGCGCGATGCCAACTTCTCACTTTCGGTATGCAATGCCTGTCCAAGTCGTTAAACCCATCACCAATATTTTGGGCTGGCAGCTGCAGGGTCGCTCATTTGTGAAGCACGGTCCAAGTAAAGACTGACAATTCCTGCCTGCTCCTGGACATGCTGCAACAAGCTTGTCACGGATGCGGGCAGTGACTGCTCACCAGCAGGCCGTGATGGCCGCGGGGCCATGCCGGCCGCACATGGGGCTTGAACGAACCCAGAAAGGCTAATATCTGAAAGGTTTACTGAGTAAGACTAAGAGTAGCTGCGTGGCTCAATGAATGTGGCCATGATTAGCAAAACCAAATCTGCAAAAGTGCTATTGTCGGCTCAGGGTCTCATGCTCCTGATGATAGTGAAATCATCCTACTTGGAGGGTAGTGATCGCATGTTTCTTGTCCTTTGTACAAGCCATGAAAAAATCATCCTTCGATCAGACGACCTGCCATATGTCTACGCCAAACTCCCCGGCCCCAGTCCCACCCCAGCACCAAAAATAAACAGCAAGAAAGGTTGATTGTTCGGGCCCACACTCTTTTACAACTGAAAGCGATCCCCTTCTAGCTCTGGCCTGCAAGGCAGCATGATGCCGCCTTGAGGAACGTTGACCTTACAAAATGGTCCATGACACAGCAACCTGACCATCCTTCAACTGTGCGACTCTCAGAACAGCTTTGCCAATCATGAAAACAAAGGATGACTGGCCTCAGGTTTTGAGCTCCGTGATGTTGATTGATTAGAATGTCAAGCCGTGTCTAAAACTCATTTGTACATTGAAGCCACCTGCCGAATGAAGAGTCAGCAAATGATGGAGAATCTGGTCTGCAATCATCCCCTACCTCTTTACTGCCGAAATGTGCATGATGAACACATATGTATACATATAGAGAGAGAGAGAGATGTATCGTATCATCGTGTGCTTCCTTCTAAAACAAGAAATGAATGATGCCAGCTGCCCCTGAGGTCCGGCACCGCTCTGTGCCTTTGGCGCTGCGGGCAACGTTGCAGTGCGATCCTGTGGCCATTGTCGTTGTGGTCTATGGTTCTTTAGACGGGGAAACACTACCAACTGGAAATCCCGTCATGTTCAAGTGCTTCTACTAACTTCAGCACGAATAGGAACATTATCGTATCTATTTGCCTTGCAATTTCGCACTTAAAACCAAAGCTAGAGGAGAGACTGATGGAAAGCACTCCATGATGGGCACACCCGGTCCAGCAGTGCGGATTGCTTCAGCAAATCCGTGGTTTGCAGGATTGCACTTGGAACCTGCCGCAGGCATAAATCCAGCAGCTCCAGGTTAGAGGTGCTTTTGTGGATGCATTTAGATGCGTTCATCGTGCTCAAGGCAAGCATGGTAAAGTAGCTTGGGCTTGTTCTTCCAGAAGAGGTCTTCAAAGCATGAGGTGAACAAGTACGCAAGGCCTCTGGCTCGTTGGTTCGAGCTGTTGACATGCCTGGACAAGCAACAAGAACCTGCGTGAAGACTTTTCGTGTGTGTATGGGACATGTCCATTCCTCGTCAAAGAAAGATCAATACGATAATGTGTGCTTGGCTTGGCACGAAAAACTCTTGATGTCGTGGCCAGCTCGACTCACGTTTCTCTATGGAACTCTGTGGAGTCAAGACCTCACTGGTCACGCATCCCAACCTGAATCTACACGGGAGGTGTCAATCAGGTCCTTGTCCTCCTTCTTCATTGAAGGCCTCAAGCATTTCTTGAAAGAGCGAAAGACTGGATATGTAAATCAATCTGTTCTTGAAGCTTCCAGAACGCCAAAACTATCAGCCAGCCAATCAAGCTGCCCTCAGCAAGCTGTGAGGTCCTGGCTTGATGTTGAAATTCAACTTCATGCTGAGTTCCTGCAACTGACACAAGAACCGCAGTTGCTTTCCCCTCATGTTTGAAAGATTGAAACAAGTGAAAATTTGCTTCAAAGAGCTGCAGCTACAGTTTAAGATAAATGATCATCAATGTCATCTGTTGACACATGTTGCACCAAACATCTCTTCTCTCCCTCAGCGTCTTCACCCTCGTGAGTGTCAACCCGCGGCCTCCTCTCCGCCATCTTGGCCTTGTGGAAGAATGACCTGTGGCAGCTGTGGCGTTGCCATTGTTTGAATGCAATGAAGTCATTGCGAAAGAATGATCACTCCAATGGTCATGAATTGTCAGATTCTCTCATTTGTTTATGCTTTCCGCAGGCTCTTGGGGCAGGGAACTACTTCGCTCCGGATTGACTTCGCTCCGGTCTCCCGTTCTCTCCCAAGATATCGGAGAACTGCTTGGCAATCGCATCCATCTGGATCTTTCCAATTTCGGCTTGCGAGGCAACCTTTACAACGATGTCTTTTCCAGACACCACTGGTGAAACCCAGCCCTCATCTGGTCCAATCCCTTTCACTCGTTTCACGTGGATTCTGCTTCCGTTCTTGCTGGCTCCAACCTCCTCAAGCATCGCAAACTCCTTGTAGCGGCCAGACTCTTCTGACTTGAGTGCCTCGCCTGTACGAGCCAAGCATCCGCCAGCAGATTTCACAAACCACAACTTCTTCTTCATAAAAATCTCCACCATTCTCCCGTGTTTGTTAATCTGGTCTGCCATGTACTGCTTCATGGGTGGATACTTCTCCGAAAGATCCATGTTCCACTTGCCGAAGATTTGCCCAAAATCTTTCAAGTGCTTGAATTTGTTGTGAGCTGCTTTGAGCCTTTCTTCCAAAGCATCTCTTTTCTTCTTCCAGATTCCTGCGTCCACCTCTTTTTTGAAATTCTCTATAAAGTCCACGGTACTTTTGATGCCGTCCTCCTTCGCCATGACTTCAGCGATCGTCTTGCAATTCTGTATGATGGTCGGGTCCTCGCAGCATTTCCGAATCTTGGCTCCAAGCTCTTTCGCTGTCAATTGAGACAAGTGCACAGTACCCTCGCCATGCTGGTCCTTTGACAGCTTCCGGGCAATGTCTTTTTGATCGGCAAAAACAGGTGTAACAATGGTTGGCACACCTGCGCTTAAGGACGCCTGAGTGGTTCCAATGCCACCGTGATGCACACAGCAGGCGCATTGTGGGAAGAGCCACTCATGGGGTGCAGACTTGAGAAAAAGTACATTGCTTTGGCTGTAGTCCTTCAAGTCTTGAGCTTCGTCACCGCCCAAAGACGATTCAGATAGCTCTGCCCAGCCTCCAACAATGATACCACGCTTGCCCGCTTCTTTCAAAGCTCCCACTGCCAAGCGTGCCATGTGCTCCTTGGAAAAAACCATCATAGAACCCCAGCCAATGTACACCGGCTTCTCACCAGCTAGGATAAAGTCAGTTGTGGCCGTGTGCTGGTCTCCAGCGTTGAAGAGTGCAGAGCCTTTCTTTGCAGCTTCCTCTTGCTGCTCTTTTGGAATCTTCCAATTGCCTGGAACGAGGATGTTGGAGGTCTTGGGCCAATCATCATAGGGCACCCACCAGCCAGGGCTGTAAGCTAGAATCCTTGGTGTTGGATGCTCCTCGATGTTAAACATAATCTCGTAGGATGCTTGTGGAGTGTTGAAAACACCCACCTCTACACCCTCCTTCATTGCTTCTTGGACACGGTAAAAATTACCTCCAGCATCGGTTTGCATTTCCAGGACCCACGTGTATAGAAGTGGTTGTCCGGGCTCAAGCTCTAAGCGTTGCATGTTGACCGGTGTGATATGGTTCGTTGGAACTGAATGTGGCTGGTAGGATGCAATGATCTCTGGAATCATCATATTGGTCTTTTCTCGAAGCTTGCTAACCTCGCCTCCCATGAGGCCCGTCCAAATCAAAACGTCCGGCTTGAACTCCTCCATCTCATTTTGGAAAATCCCACTCCAGTCAGTTTGCAAATCCAGGTCATCATCAAAATCTCCAGCTGCAAAGACCATCAAAAGGTCGCCTTTCTCCATGGCCCTCATGCCACGCTCTGTGGACAAAACGTCCTTCACTTCGATGCAGCAAGCAACACTCTCCAACCCAAACTCATTTGCCATCTTACAATGGCCGGGGTTGGCAAAGAACTTCACTACATGTCCAGCACGCTTCAAGCCAATGCCAAGAGAGAGGACAGGCTGAAAATCTCCTCTCGTGCCTTGAGTTGCAATTGCGCATCTGATTGGCGCCATGGATCTGGCAAGCCCAGCCTTTGGCTGGGCACGCAAGCGCGTTGAAGAAAAATGTTCGAAGATTTGGAGGTAATGTCTGCAAATTTGTGAAGCGTGGCGGGTGCTGTTCATTTGCTTTTGGCGTCTTTTGGTTGACCCTACGTCTTTTCAAACAACTTGGCAACCAATTATAAAGGTAAACCTAGTGCAAGTTGGAGCCCATCGCTTGAGCCATGCATACGGCAGCTCTTGCCAATCCCTGAAAACACAAAAAGCTTGATTTGAAGTAGGGGAAATGGTGCGATTTCCAAGCAAAGGCACTATGGTCTTGCAGTGCAGCTTGATTTCGCTTCAATGTCACGCTCGAACCTTCTGCGAACAATAGTGCAGTAGGGACAGAAACATCAAACAGCTGCAGGCCTCAATTTGATGCCCAGCGCCTTATAGAACAGGGACTGTGCGGCACACAACACTCTTATTTGTGTTCTTTAAAGGTCGGAAGTAGCAGGGCCCATACCTTCGGCATTTGTTCCCGCACCAAAAGCCTTGCAACAGGTGCATCTCCAAGCAGTTTGAGAGTTCAGGACTTCAAAAACTCGAGACAAATATCCATCCAGGTCTTCTGATCATTCTTCTTTATCTTGATTTCTCTCTCGAGTCTCAACCCCACTGTCTTGCCTTTTGCATCGCCGGCAGCAGCTCCGAGCTACCAACGCCTCAGCAGAAATGGCTTCAAAGGCTCGGTAGACAATCACTGATCACAAAGGAAACGTGTGCAAACTTACCATCCAATCTTCCGGAGAATGGGTGAGGGTGGGTGGGGTCCCTGTCTTCCTTAATTCTTTCCACTTAGGCTGTGGCATGCACTGCCCCTCAATGACAGGAGGTCAACCTGCGGAGAGGTTCAAAGGACAGTTGAAAAGCCTTGCGTCACTTTGCCGTCTCAGCACGCGATCGCCTCACTACAAGCGATCGTGTTTCGGCCTTCAGGCCGCTGCCACCCGCAGCGACTGCAGCTGCCGTGGAAGAATTGCTGAAGGCAAATTTTTGGCGGACAGCCAGCGGCGCCTGCGATCAGACAGGTTCTCATTTTTTGCCGGGGGGGGGGTAGGCCGCTAGAGAGGGGCTAGGGGTAGCTAGGGGTAGCTAGAGTAGGAACTGAGATAGCTACTAGCTGCAAGTAAGCTACTAGTAACTGGACGCAGGATGACGCAGGATAGCTCGCAGTAATGATTTTTAGGGAAACTTAAGGTTGGAGGCCATCGCTTCTAGGCTGGAGGCCATCGCTAGTAACTGATGAAACATGCTCTTTTCCCTTTGTTCACCTGGCGCCGCGAACCGCCAGCACTGATGGAGAGGAGGCATCTGAGGAGTCGATTCAGTTCTTCAGATTTGGACATTGGGCCTTCCAACACTTCGAAAGTGTTTGGCTGTCACGAACTATTGGAGCTTAAGCTGGAGGCCCATCTGGAACGTTCTCAGCGTTCACAAGACATACCTCCATCTTCCTGAAAGCAAACGGCGTAAATGAAATTAAATAAGATTACTTTGAGATCTCTCAGGTCCAGACCAAGACCTGCCCCGAAAACGTCGGGGAAGCCAAATGCTCTAGTGCCCCAGTTCGTGCCCTGCACCGAAGGGATCGTGATCCGAGCAACGTTGCACAAATCTGCGGATCATTTCTGAATTCATTGAAGTTTGGTTTGAGAAACATAGAGAAGACCAGTGAAGCACTGCCCATTTTCTGCCAGAGCTGTCCCAATAGCAGCATTGTCCACCGGGTTCCTTTCTGGCACTGGAGGGCCACATCTATGCGAACGAGGCCCTCGACAGTACGCGGTTCCTCTTCAAAGTGGAGGGAACTTGCGGTGCAGATGATCCGTTCGACAGCACGGCTCCTCGCTACACGGATCCTGCAGCGTCTTTGGTTTGTTTCACCAGCGGTAGATGGCTCACGCGAAGCTGGAGGAACGTGGCTGAAGCGAAGCTGGTTGAATATATATATATATACTTATATAAGTTATGTGTAAAAAATATACATATATATATATATTTATATATACACATACAGTAGATCTTAGTACGTCAAACTCCTTCTCTATCTGCAAGTTCTTTCAATGTTCAGCACAATCAGCTTGGCCTCAGCCTACAATCAACTGCACATCCAAAATTCAAGCTCAATGTTCCAGATGGTATGCAAACAAGGTCTGCAGTCAGTGCGTCGACTTGATCTGTATCGTTATTTCTATATACCTGTCACTGCCTGTTCTTAGCAACTCTTTGCCTCTCACACCATCCGACAGTTATTAATCAATCAATTGATTCAATCACTGCTCATGGTCATTCAAAGCAGCGAATGGGGCATCAAAATCGGACTCCCTAGCGCTTGCGCTGATGTCTGGCGGGGAGTGCGTCAACGAAACTCAGAATCACTGCACTTCCACAAAGAGGTCAAACCACAAGAAGTCAAGGGCCAACAAAACTTATTTTACTTTGTATTCCAATGTGCTTACTTGATTCAAGACAATCGACCAAAAGAAGCACTTTTTCACATCAAAAATGACAGCTTTCACTTTCGCTGTTCCCAAGGCTGGCAAGCTTGACATGACTTCACGGAGCAGCAGGCAGTTTCATTCGAGTGCCCAGATCCATGCGGAAACAGCATCTGTTGTGATATTCACAATATCTATCGATGTCTCTGGTATCTGGGCTGTGGCAACCGGGAGGCCGTGCAAAAGGCAGGGCCTTCCATGTCTTCCAAACTGTACTCGATCATCAACCCGACTTGCACGGCCCTTACGAGGACCCAAATTATTCCTACGGCACAAAGCACCTTCCTTTTACTCCAGCTTACGGCAAACTAACAACATGTGGCTGCAATTTCGGGGGACAGCAGTGTGCGCGGGGAACAAGCTGCTTCGGCCACAGAAGCGGAAGATTGGGTTCATACATTGACGTAGATTGCGTCAAAAAAAGAATCGTAGCACGCCCTTGGATACCATTGATGATAGTATGAATTTTTCTGAGAGGGTTTTCCACTGACTCGTCTGATTATGTTTTTGTCCGATCCCCTAGTACAGCTTGCTATCCGGGCGGCAAAGCAAGTGTTGCTTCTCCAAAGCTCACCAATGTCAACACGACAGGTACACGACAGGTGACTCACGGTGCAGGCAAAGGCAAGGCTGCAGCTTGTGGGGCTGGAACCCCGGGAATCGGCTCCTGGAGCCCGGACTCGACCAACTCTGAGATCGCATGACGACGCCACTAAACTCATCATTTGAAGAAGGAGAAGGGTGAAACAAGGCCTGTTTGTCTGGGAGTCTGGACTGTCCTCTTGCATCCATTGTGGCAGCACACCATCAGCAACAGCTTCTTGGGCCACTTGATGGGCCTTGACAGGAAATGATCGAATGATCTGGAATGTGCTGAAAGTTCCATATGCGCAGCAAAAACCAAAGTCATACGAAAATATCTTGAAACAAGTTCCAAATGCCATCTCAACAGATCGTTCCACAAATCCCCCGCTAATGTGTTTTGGCTACTACCACTCCACTGCTGATACCCCTGTGGCTGCAATGCCCCGAAACATCCCACTGGAGGTGCCTCAAGTAGCACCCGACGAGCCCATGCAAGCTGTGCCTTTGTCAGGAAGAGTTGCTAGAATCTAGAAGGCAGCACTTGCATGAGTTTCAGCAGGAGAGTTGCGAAAGGCGTCACTTGGGAGAGCGGCAGTCTTTTACTTTCTGTGGCATCTCATCCCAGTCGTGTCCTGAGCTCGACACCATATCCCATCCGAAGCCACCAGTAGAGTTGTCCTGGCATGTCTTGGCCAACTGCCATCGAACCTACAACACAGCTCTCCAAGGAAACGTTGAAAGAATACAGGCAACGTCACAGGTGGTTAGTCTTTTCTCTGGGAATTCGAAGCAGTCTGGGCTCAAAGCATGGGACCGGGTGAAAGCCAAGACCAGGAAAAAGGTCCACCCACCCGGTGTGGACCAAAAGCAGGGGAAGTGGAGAAAAGAAAGCAAGGTCATGGTCACTCCGCAGTGCAACAGGCTGCACAAGGCAGGCAACGCCGCAGCCATCTTGCCCGAGGGAAAATGTGGGTTGAAGCCACAGGGGGATGGAAATGTGGCCTCATCTGCCCATGTATTCTCCATCCACCTTGGTGGAGGCACCGTAGCGGCTGCTGGCATCTGATGCGTTGAGTGGTTGAACATGGTGAATGTGTTCCCCTGGTTGTCCGATGTCTCCACCGGAGCCCCCACTGCCAAGGGCGCCTGTGCGGAGAGATCCATCTGGGTGGCCACTGCAAGGTGTTGGTCGAATCGGAATCGTGGGATCGGAATCCAGCTGGATCGGAATCCACTTGGTCAGATCGGAATCTAAACCCTGAACCCTAAGAATGTAATACTGGACGCTGATCCCGCGATGTCGAATCTGATCCTGGACGCTGATCGCTGACGCTGATCCGGCGAGGTAGAATCTGATCTGGCAAATACCCTAGGAACAAAGTTAGGGTTGCCCAAAAGCCAAAAGGGTGCATATTTTCCAGGCACTCTAGGGCCACCCAACACTTGAGCTGAAATGTATTCAAGAAACACTACATGCTTTACACATGTTCTCAGCACGTACAAATTCTTTTCACTCCGGGAGTCCCCAGTTGGTCCCGACCTCTGAGCTGTAATTCCCTCCAAAGACCTCAAAGGCACAAACCAATCAGGAATGAGTCCAACCCTAGACTCGGACGTGCAAAAGCGGGACGCACCAGTGGCATCCAACGCGGACACCTGATCGATATTGTTCCTGGGTTTCAAACATCAGTGTTGGCTTGACGTTGCGCAGATGCAAAAGCTTCGTTCACTTCCTGGCGCGAAACCCGTTTCACAGAACTCCTGAAAAATCCATGGGTCAACGGGTTGGTTTTGTCTCAACCTTAGCTTTGCAAAACACCGGAGCAGCAGGTTCCTTGTTTCATCCACACCTCGCCTGAACTGCCGGCAAGATAACATTTGTGAGGCCCAAAAGCCTTGCACAGCAAAACTCTAAAAAAAAGCGAAAGAATACTGCCACTGGGCCACTCTTCCTAAGTGAGAGCGCCTCTTTGCAGCCATCACACGAGCAGAGCTCATTCGTCGGGGGCTTCGGTCACGTCCTGTGCGTTCTCAAACCGCAGACCCGGGCTTGAATGTAACGCAGCTGAAGGTCACACCTTCTCGGCCCTTTCCAGCATCTCCCTTCGTGAACGTCGTATGGTCATCTTCATGGTCCTCAAAAAATGATTGGAGATGAAAAGCTTGACCATGAGGCAGCCGTGGCCCTTCTGGGGCCCTCCCGTGTTTGTTGCCTGGGAGAGCTTCGTGATGCTGTTCCACGGTGCTGGAAGCCGAAAACCAAGCTTCAGCATCCTCCGTGAAAGAGAAATTGAGCTTGGCGGACAAAACTAGGTTGGAGGCCATCGCTACTTACTAGGGTGGAGGCCATCGAAAAAAGACAACTCTGATGCCGTCGCCAAGAATCTGCTGCCGCTGTCGCATCTGCAAGCCACCTTAGATCAGCCCCAAATGCTGTCTGTGCGGAGCCATCGGGCATTTGGACTTGGATTGTCTAACAAGTAACCATTGTTGCGCCGTCAATCGCCGTGCACAATGGCACAGGCTTGGGGAAATGTCAAATTCTGCTCATAGATGGCAATCAAGCAAGCAACTCTTTGTTCCTTTCTCCTCCAAATCAGTCTTTCTTGCAGCCACGGCCACGCAGAAACTCGGCAGGTTCGCAGGTCACAGTCACCACCTGAACCACACTAATATCCTGCAACCAATGGACTTACATCTTGCCCTCCTGTCTACTGACTCTACTGAGCTCACAACAAAGTAGTCACCCTTCGTTGGCCAATACCATCGGAGCCACGTGTCCTCACGGGTTGTGGAGTTGAAAAGGTATGCTGGGTCCCACAAACACGAAACCGCACTTCGAATGTCTGTAGAGTACCCATCTTGGCATGTTCCAGCCCGTCCATGGGAAATTGCATCCAGCGAGATGCACTTGGCCTTGACAAAGCGAAACTTCGATGAAGAACATATCAGAAATACGTCACCTCGGGCTCACACCCAGCTTGCGGATTCACAAAGCCGTGCCAGCGTCGCACCTCCAGTGGTGGGAGTTCGGTGCATGGAGGCAAGCAGCAAGGGTAGATTGACAAAGCATCCAAGGGCTAAATGTTAAATGCTAGTAAGGTACTGTAAGCTACCATAAGGTACTGTACTAAATGCGAACGAAAATGCTACTTCAAGGCGTGAGAGCTAACGTGTTCTTTTGGGCACCCGAAACATGCAGTGCCTCACTCCGATGTTCAAGAAGTTCACCATGTCCGCCTTTGCATCCTTCGGACAGGCCTCGAAGTGGACTTTCATCCACAGAACTTGAGCAAGCCATCACTAGGTCTCGCACACAATGCAAAGGCAGGCACTCCTGAAAGGTGCTTTAACTTTCAATGCGGGCATGAAGCGATGTGTTTGGATAGGCAGGTTCATCCAACCCGTTCGCTGCTTCAATGGATCTGCTTGACTTTGGATGCTTCAAAGCTACTGTGACATGTGTGTACAATTCCTTGGGCAAACTAAATGCTTAAACCGGTGCAATATCGTTGAAGAGGTTCACAATCTTTGGCCAATCCTCCACTCTCGCAGTCCATGCGCTCTGGGCTGGGGCTTGAAGAGCCGTCCTGAAGCTTGACATTTAAGAGCCGTCCTGTGCCCACTTAAGTGTTCCTCCACTTTTCCATTTGGCACCTCATCAGGATAGAATGGCGTGTGCAGGTTCACAGGAAGGGTCCGGTGCGAGCCGCCAAAATTAGCCTCAAGTAAAGCACATCATACTCTAAAGAAAACAACCCTTGCTAAAGCCAGGCCAAGGCAAAGTTATATACAGTATATCAAAAAGTGCAGGGGCTCAAAAGGCCGTGATTGCAGCCAGATTGCTGCAGAGGCAAACTTTTGAATGCGAACAGAGGTAAAGTCCTCAGTTGCCCAGGGCTGGCCGCAGCAGCTAGCAGCACTGCAAGCAGGACATCTCAATGTCCTTCATAAACAGGTATTTAGCTAGCTTCTCAAAGAGATCTGAAACAACAAGACCTCGTGAGACCTTTACAAGCAGGAGTTCAGCTTTGCCTGGGGCCACCACGGTATGGGGGACCTCGAGCTGGAAGAGGTCGCACAGCAGCCTTCAATGGTACCAAACTCAATGAGTTGTCCAAGATGGTGCAATGTGGGGGCAACAGTACGATATGATATCATACAATACAAGAAATGGAGTACAAAGCCACTGCAGTCAAACACAGTCACACTGCGCCAATACGCTGCATGTATGTAAAGTCAGGAATACATGGAACGTTGTGCCACGCGCCAGTCTCAATCTTTCTTATCGTCCACCTTCCTATTTATCCTTCCCCAGGTCTCTCTCCCTTTTCTCAATCGACAGATCAATTGGTCAGCAAGCAAACATCGTCCAAAATGCGTTCCAACATCAACATGTTCCGGCAGGGTGATGAATTCTCTGAACATGCTGTTTGATCCTGGTGCTCTTTGTGACCTGTTCTTGACCTGACCCTGGTAGAAGTCCGATCAAAGCATTCATTCCAGTTTTGATTGGCGGTGCCATTCTTTCTTTTCCTGACCCTCCAACCTCTTTGGGGTCAGCCTAGAAGCCCACAATATTTGCCAATGTCAATTTGATGTTCAAGACTGTGGGATCTTGGAACTTGATTCACAATAGGTATATATAGCTTTGAATGTTAGTCGGATCCCCACAATAACAGAAAGTAAAGCAACCTTTTCAATCGACAATCTTAAGCAAGTCTTGAAGAGGGACAAATTGCACTAGAGTCACTAGAGTGCTCGAAAAAAAGTTTTGTCCACGCGAGCTTCTTTGTGGCACGACTGTATTCATTCTGAAGAGCGAAACTGTCCAACCCAAGCCTTGGCAATCGTACTGGAATACCATAATGCCTCTGGCTGTTCACTTTTGCTCAAAAAAATCTCTATCACCATGGCACCTTCTGCCACTGTCGTGTAGGAAGTAAAACAGTAATGCTCACATGATACCGCCACAAAGCTCGTACGACTAGCACGTGCTATTGAACCGATCAAATGATGGAGGCCTTTCTGCCGTGGTGTCCAAGCTGTAGTGAGACCTAAGGTGGCAACCGAGTATGGCTTCAATGCAGTGCTCCCAAGGCACACCGGGGCCCAGGACCCATTGAGACCGAGCACAAAGGCGGCATGAACAAAGGGAAACCTTATGAGCCGAGCATGAGAATGGAGTTCTGGGCTTTGCCCGGCTTTGCCCGGCTTTCCGAAAAGTATGGCGGCTTTCCGAAAAGCATGGCAGTCTGGATCTGATCTACAGTATCTCAAATGTCTGCATGTATGCCTTTGCATGGGGTCTTGAGTTCCTGACTTGGTTTGACCCAAGAGTTCCAGCACCTTTGCCCGCAGCTCAGCCACCTTGGGTGAGGAAAGACTCAAATGAATATTTTGACACATGACACATGACAGGACTCACCCAACCAAGAAATAAAGAACAGCCGTCCACAAAGTGCTGGAACGCATTCTCGCAGCCCCCATCAAAGCTCCTTTTCTCCGGTCAGGGCCCGAAGAACACATCGTGAAGCTTCTTCGAGGCCGTCAGCAGTTGATCTCCAGGGAGGACAAAGGTGACGTTCACATTGGAAGCGCCGTGGGAGACCATCTCAACCTCCAAACTCTTTCCAACGTTGCTTTCGACCGAAGGTGTTCAAACGTTTCCAGTTGAAGACACTAAGCTACTACAGCGCTCACATTGTAACCACAAGTAAGCAGCTTGCGGAACACAAACTGGAGTGAGCAGCAGTGCAGCTACTGGAAGCTTTCGAGCTGCCTGTATCTTCAGCTCCTTGACGGGGCATTGCAATGTGTAAAGTTCAACCAAAAAGATTGTTGGGAAGCACAGTTTTTGACCTCTTTAGGAAGGCTAAGACCTTTTCTCAAAGGCTTGGTTGCAAAGTAATTGGACTTGGCTTTGGACCAAGGGCTCCTCAAAGACGGTAAAGGCTTCTCTCAAGACACTCACGGAATCGGATTTGGGGACGATGAGAGTCAGCATCGCCACATCATGCAGTACGGATACCTGCGCAGTCCGCCAGACATCTGTCGTCAAGAGCTTGGTTTAAAGCAATAGCCATTTGGGATAATTAGAATCAGTCGAGATGGTGATAATTCGATGTTCCAACAATCCAGAGATACTGTATTGTCCATGAACCTTTGTCCAACAAAGTATCTTGTTTGAGCTCAAAAAGCCAGCCTTTGCCACTTCTTGAAGCTCCCGTTCGATTGCAGGGACGTCCACATGCTTGTAGCCTGAACATGTTGACAAGAAGACCGCTCTGCTCGGCCTATTCCCATCACATGGAGAATCATTCATAAGCAATAAACCCAACTGAGCACTACTGCGCCTACGAAACCGCTTTACCCTCTGGTCCGTTGCTTGATACACACTGTGCGATTCCAATTCGCCAAAAATGACATCCCTGGCCTTCATCAAGTGTCAAGGACACTGTCACCTCCGACGTGGCAATCACGTCAACGGATGCAGCATATTTGTTGAAGACCGAGAAGACATGGGCCAAGAAACCATGCTGGCCAAGCATTCTGCCTTTTCAGACAGGCCGGAGTTTGAATCAAATACCGATTGGAGCAAATGCATGCAAGCAGATTGGTGGAAGTAGATTGGTGTGAGGAAACTAAGGAAAGGGCTGCTCTTGATTACCTCAGCGGCACCAATAAGTACCAACACCTCCAACGCCACTATTTACTAGATATCTACAAAAATAGAGTAAGTGACTCAAAGGAGCATGATGAATGCAGTACCAGAAGTTGAATGTTAAATCCCAGGGAATTCAAGAACCTTTCTCGTATCTTAGCCATCCAAATTTGCAATCCAGCTGGATTGGACTCGGCCACCATGCATTGTCCTCCCAGGATCTCCGCATGTTGTGTATTTCTTGCGTGCAGTGGTCTAGAGTCTAGAGTGTCATAAGTAGCTCAAAGCAAAAGACAAGACACAATCATCGTGATGTTGCTTTTGCTGCTGATGGCCGCGACCCGCCGCTCTTTGGTTTCAGTGCTAGAGAGCTTCGGCACAATGCGGGTGCCTCACACATGGCAATGGAAAGTTAAACAAATCATTGTTTTCAAAAAGTGTTGAGAAAGCCTTCTTTCAAAGTTGATATCTGTAATTCCGCTCTGCGTGCCTGGATCTTCTGGCGCCATCGAATTGCGGACACTCATTGGCACCCCTGCTTGCCACGCTGGCAGCACTGCGGCTGGGTGCACAACTTTGGACCCGAAAGTTGAGAGCTCGGCAGCCTCTTCGAAAGTGAGCACTCTCACCTGAGACAAAAGTTGCGTTTCCCTAAAAACTCTAGGAACCAAATCAATCATGTGAAGGGTTCTTTAAGGAAGCTACACCCAGGCCCGCAGCCAGGGGGACCTTCCTTGAAGAAATCTGAGTGTTTTTACATCGGAGCCAGGTAGCTTTCTTGCTGCCTCTAGCTAGTTACGCTGCTGCCTAACCCCTTCCAGCTTACAACATTAAAAGAAAATGTTGAAATACTGAAAAAGTTGAAATGTGAACGACATTCTGCAGAGTTGCAGGTTTGGCGCTGGAGATCACACGTGGGTCGGTCGTCTGGACTCCACTGACATCTTTCCAGATCTGAACTTCAGACGCTTTGACAGCGGCTCCGATCACCGTTGCTGTGAGATCAGAGCCATCCCTGCCAAGTGTGGTGATAATTCCTTTGCTGTCCTGCAAATGTTGGCTGTTGGCAGGGCAAATCATCTTTTGAACCATTGCTATTAGGTTGGAGGCCATTGCTAAATTGCTCTTAGGTTGGACCCTGCAAGTCACAGTGTGTCATCACTCCTTGGCAATATATCCAGTGACGATTGGGACATAAGAGTAGTTCTGCTTCAAAGGGCCCAAGTGGTGCAT